TCCTCGTCGAAGGTTGTGGTGTTTGCTTCTTCAAGGATCCAGTGAAGAGTTTTGCTGCGCGGTGTTGGTCGCTCCTGCTCCTTTATGCCAAGGTTTTCATTGCCAATGCCGAAGATGCGGGTTACAGGTGACGGCTAGCTCCATCTCCGCCATGGCCTCTGGTTTGGCTTCGGCGCTTTCTGCTTCTTGGATTGCCGCAAGATCCCTCTTGACTTCCTCTGTGCGTCTCGCCGTAGGTGTGAAGCATGTGATGTAGAGACCGTGGGGTGCAGGTTTGTGCATATTGATCTGACGAGGGTGAGGACTGCGGTCCAGGGCCGACCATCCAGGTGCTGCCATGACTCCTCGTTCATGTAAGGAAAATCCAGGGGAACTAGGTCCACAAGCTTGTATGAGGGCGCTTGGCAGTTGGGTAAATCGAAGTCGAGCACGTAGACACCGCCAAGCGATCGAGCTCTTCCGACGTATTTGAGCGACTCGGCGGGTGTGTCTAGAGGAGCGTACGTGAGGATGAGGTCGTGCCAGTAGGGATCCGTGGCAAGATAGTTGTGCGGCAAAAAGTAAGTTGAAGCGCCGATCTGGCACGTAGAGCACGTCATTGAACGTGATCTGCGTGTTGCTATCTCGAGCTTGCAGCACCACAATGCCTTGCGCATTCGCGCGCAGTTGCTCGTTGTTGGCGACGGTGACGTAGGTGGCGGGAGCGCGACTGATGTTCGATTTGTATCGGACAAATCCCACCATGTGCTGGCCGCAGCAGCTGTCCAAGTACCAAGTGTTGTGGTTGGTGTTGTTGTTGCGCAAGAGGAGTGCAAGCTGCGGTGTCACCAGGGTCGCCTTATATCTTCTCTCAAAGAGTTCATCTTCTCTCCATCCCACGGGAACGAAGCGCTGGTGATCGTGGGGTGGGCTTTCCCGTAGTTGAATTGGCTGGTGCCAAACTTGCTCATCGTCGTCGTCATAGTAGGAGTTCTCTGTGAAGGGATTGTTCCACCCTTCTTCAGGTTGAATGAGCGCGCCGCGAGGCTCCTCCTCTTTGTTTGATGAGGTAGCTCGTGAGCGACCCCCTGTCGCCATGTTTACGATCACTTTTCGGGTAGCTCCTGCTTAAGACGCTTGTGTCTGCTGCTGTTGTTGGTGTTGTGCAGGAGGGCGAGGAGCTTGATGTTGAGGCTAGAAGTGACGAGCATCTTGTCGGCCGACCCAGTTATTGTGGTGAGTGGAATGTGGGTGGCAATAGTTGGACCAGGATTTGCATCGGTTTGTTGAATGTTCGAAGACTTTGCAGATTTTGCACTAATGGCGCCTTGGTTGTCGTCTCATTCATGGCTGTCTATATAGAAGGCGAGGCGCTCTCGGCGCGGCGCGGAACTTGTCTTGCTCGAATCCATGTCATGCTGTTCATTTAGGAGGGCGGCGCATAGCGCGGCTTCTGAGGTAATTCCTCGTTGTCGGACTAGCGCTTTGCAGGGCTTCCACTCGCGCCCGAGTCCTTGGAAGACGATGTTAACGAAGATCTCTTCCAAAATCACGCTTCCATGCTCCGTGATCTGGTCACGATTGTTCCGACAGCGGTTAATATATGCATTTGCTTTCTCCCCGTGCCCCATCTTGGTCTCCATGAGCTGCTGCAGGAGCCTGCTGGAGGTGATTGAGTCCTTCGGCTAATATACCTCAACGAGGTGCTTCCAGGCTTCCTTGGCTAGAGCGGCACTCTCTTTGTAGGAGCGAATGCCTAGCTGCTCCGCAGGCGGCATATTACGTAACAACACACTGTGCATGCCACAGAGGCGTGGCAGGGAGGGGTGACCTAGGCGGTGGTGCCAGAGGAGATTCTGGTGCGACAGGAGGCGACACGAACAGGGAGCTGCTAGCTGACCTGACGCGGACGCAGACGCAGCTATCTTAGGAGGCTCAGTAGTCAGTGTGTACAGGCTCGACCCAGGCCGACGCGTAAACGTGGCCAGGTGACGGCCCGTCCGTGCACACGTGCAGATCGCCACACGCTGTCCTCCGGGGATGAAGGTATAAATCCAAGCATCCTGAACGACGGCATTACTCACCAAGTTCGTAGAGAACGAGGGGAGGTGAAGACCTGACAGTGAGCCAGACGGAACCGCCGGACACGGGAGAACAGTGGAGGAATGTACACGAACCGGTTCCCCAGAGGGGTCAGCCAGAGAGATTGCAACCGGTGCTGCGAGTGGTGTGACTGTGGTGCTGTCGTGAAAGAAGCAGCGGGAAGCACTTGGTCAAGCGTGAAGGTGTGCAAGGCCTCACCAGGCGCAGTACCAAAGAGAGCAGACTCATGAGCACCTAGAGCTGTCTCACCAGCACCTAGAGCAGACTCACCAGCACCTAAAGCAGCAGCCGCTATACCAAGGTCGGGCGGCACACACAGGTAACAGTCACCTTGAGTACTAGTAGGCAAAGCATACATGGCAGTGAGGACAGTGTCATAATCTAAAGCAAGGATATCCACTTTGTTCCAAAGCAGCTCTACCCAGCGGGGGAGCTCAGCCTCGTCGCCAAACACTGCACGCCAAGCGTCGCTCAGAGAGGCGAAGCAGCGAGCCTGTGTGTGACCAACTGTCCCGCAAGTCTGACCAGCCCGACGTGCGAATGACGTATGAGCAGCGGATAGTACTCCAAGTCCCCTCACTCTAAGCGTACCACTCACGAAGCTGCATACACCGCTGGGGCGTAAGGGTCTCGCGCAGACGCCGCTGTAGCTACATCTCGCAAGAAACTCCGCACTGAACAGCTCCACCGCGACTGCTACTACGGCCGCCGCCACCACACCTACTGGCGTGCCACTCACGAAGCTGCTGGGGCGTAAGGGCCTCGCGCGGACGCCGCTGCAGCTGCATCTGGCCACCACAAGAAACCTCCCACCGAACAGCTCCACAGGGACTACTACTACGGCCGCCACCACTCCCACTGCTGCCACCTCCGCCGTCACCACTCCCACCACTACTACGAAGTGAAGTCATAGCGGGCAAGCAAGGAGGCGCGTGACCAGTAGGTCAGTACGGGTGGTGGCGCTCGTGGACCCTTCCGTGGCTACGGGAGTGGTCAGCAGCTGCCGACCAGCAGCTCCGTGAGTGGGTTCTCCAGCGTGGGGGCTCTGGGGGCTCTGGTCGCTGCCCTTATGTCCGGCGTACCGGGCTTCTGAAGGGCACAGTCTGCGGGAAGCCGCACACTGAGTACAAGTGCTTCGGCCGTCTTGAGGACGTCTGGGTGACTGAGTACTCCGAGGACCAGCAGGTGCCGAACTGGCTGCAGCTGATGGGGAAGGGGGTAGATGAGTTTGCTCTTGACTTTGCTAAGATCAATGCTGCTCTTTATGCCATGTATGTTGCTGATTATAGTGTTGAGGGTGCGTGTTACTCGTGTGTGCCATGCGATGCTGGTGGTGATGCTGCTCCCCCAAGTGCTAGTGAGTCTGCTGCCGCCCTAGGTGCTAGTGTCGCTACTGCCCCAGGTGCTAGTGAGTCTGCTGCTACTGCTGAGGTCTTGCACACTTTCACACTTGACTCTGGTGCGTCCCGTTGCATCTTTCGCAACTGCACCACTGTCACCCCACTCACTACACCAGTCCCAGTCTCACTGGCGGACCCCTCTGGGGGCTCGGTGGTTGCACGCCACTCCACTGTCCTCCCGTGCCCAGCTATCCCCTCTAGCTCTCTGTCCGGTCTCCACCTCCCCTCGTTCTCGACGAACCTAGTGAGCACCGCCGTCCTTCAAGATGTATGGGTTGACACCTTTACTCCTGGAGGTCAGCGTGTGGCGATCTGCACATGCGCCAAGACAGGCCGTCACCAGGCTACGTTCACACGACGGCCGAGGTCGAACCTGTACACACTCACCACAGCGTTTGCACAGGTAGCTGCGTCTCGTCAGGTGGCTGCGTCCGGTCAGCTCGCTGCGTCCTGCTCGTGTCGCCTCCTCACCCACCCTGCGCAGCTTTGGCACCACCGTCTTGGCCACCCGTCGCAGCTGCATCTGCACGGTATGCACTCCCGGCTCCTAGTCTCTGGCCTCCCTGTGACCCTGCCCCCCCTCCCGCACTCGCTTGCGCCGCCGTGCCTTCCTTGCGTCGAGGGGCGGCAGCGCGCCGCTCCTCACTCCTCCGAGTTTCCTCCGACCACTGCTCATCTGCAGACTCTCCACCTAGACGTGTGGGGCCCGACCCCCTTCGGTGGAACGTACCAGGAGCGCTACTTCCTGCTGGTGGTTGACGACTACACATGCTACACCACAGTCTTCCCCTTGCGGCGCAAGGCGGATGTCAGTGGTGTCTTGATCCCCTGGATCCGTGCTACTCGTCACTAGCTGCGCGAGCGGTTTCGGCGGGACTTTCCAGTCCTGCGTCTGCACTCTGACAGAGGTGGTGAGTTCTCCTCTGGCATCCTTGAGACGTTCTGCCAGGATGAGGGCATCGCCCAGTCGTTCAGGCTTCCGGCCTCTCCGCAAAAAAATGGGATCGCTAAGCGTCGCATTGGCCTGATCATGGAGGTTGCTCGTACCTCCATGATCCATGCGGCTGCTCCCCATTTCCTGTGGCCGTTTGCGGTCCAATATGCCGCGCATCAGCTCAACCTCTGGCCCCATGTCTCTGCTCCAGAGACCTTGCCCACACTCCGTTGGACGGGACAGCCTGGTGATGCGTCGTCGTTTCGGGTCTGGGGCGCGCTCTCCCTTATTCGCGATACCAAAACGAGCAAGCTCTCCCCTCGCACTCTCCGCTGTGTCTTCTTAGGCTTCCCCACCGACGCTCCACCCTGGCAGTTCTACCACCTTGCCTCGCGTCGTGTTCTGTCCTCTCAGGACGTCACCTTCGACGAGTCGGTCTGTTACTACCGACTTCACCCACACACGTCCCACCCGGTCCCCCTCGCACCTCTCTTCCTGGTACCAGTCCCCCCCCCCGGTAGACCCCCTTCCCCCACAGGGTCCTACTCCCTCAGGTGTGTCTCAGGTAGACCCACCTCCCAATGATGAGCCAGTTGAGATCTCTTCTGACTCCTCTGACTCACCTGAGGGGGGTGAGGCCGTCGCCGACGACACGTCAACCACTCGCCGCACTCCTCGCTTGGAGACCCCCCCGGGTTTCCCGCCACCGCGTGTTGGCCGCCTCCGCAGCCTGCTGCTGTGGACTCTGGAGCTGAGACTACTAGAGCCGGGACTGGGGGTGGTGAGTCTGGAGGTGGTGAGTGTGGGGGTGCCCGCTCTCCTCATCTGGCTACTCCCCCCGGGTTCCCACCTCTGCCGTCTTCGCCGCCTCTGCAACCTGCTGCTGTGGACACTGGAGCAGAGACTGAGGGTACTGAGCCTGGGGGTGCTGGGACTGAGGGTACTGAGCTTGAGGGTGCTGTGACTGAGGGTACTGAGCGTGAGGGTGCTGAGACAGAGGATATTGAGCCTGAGAGTGCTGGGACCGAGGGTACTGAGCCTGCGAGTGCTAAGACCGAGACTTCTGACTCTGGGGGTGCTGCGAGTTCGGGTGCTGACTCTGGGGGTGCTGCGAGTCCTTCTGGTGTTGGTGTCGTCGGAGCTCCTACCGGAGGACCTGGAGCTGCTGGTGCTGGAGGTGCTGGAGTTGCTAGGGGTGCTGGAGCTGCTGGTGCTGCTAGTGCTGGAGGTGCTAGAGGTACTGGAGCTGCTGGTGCTGGAGGTCCTGGAGGTGCTGCTGGTGCTGGAGGCCATGGAGCTGGTGGTGCTGGAGGTGCTGGAGGTGCTACTGGTGCTAGAGGTGCTAGGGGTACTAGAGCTGCTGGTGCTTCTGGTGCTGGAGGTGCTAGAGGTGCTGGAGCTGCTGGGGCTGGAGGTGCTGGAGGTGCTGGAGGTCCTGGTGGAGCTACTGGTGCCCTTCGCCACCTTCTCAGTCTTCAGCCAAGTGCTACTGGCTTCCCTGTGGCAGGTACTACTCTTCCGTTGCTGTGTCCACCGGAGGACCAGTCACAGGCGCCACTGCTACCACACTCCCCACTGCCTGCTCCTACTCCTTCAACTACGGTGTAAGAGTCCCAGACCGAGCGTCGAGAGTCTGAGACTCGTGTTTCCACCACTAAGCGTCGAGAGCCTGAGTCTAGCTTTGACCTTGAGCCTGAGCCTAGAGCTGCTGTCCGTGCTTGTGTTCCTCGTATTCATCGTCCGTGTGCTCCAGCTGTCCCCGGCACTCACGATATGACACTCCGTCCTTCCTCTATTGCTCAGCGTGTTGTCCTACCGTTACCTCCTGCGTCCACTTTGCCTGACGTTGCTGACCCTCCGTTTGACGTGCTCGTGCGTCCAGACCGACTGCTACTCGCCTTCTTGCTACGGTTGTGACGGACCCTACGTTCTCGTCTCCTGCTGCGTCTGCCCTAGTAGCTGAGCTCGTTGACATTGCTGCTGTGTACCGCCTATACTACCTCGCAGGTCTTGTCTCTGACCCTGTCTCTGCCTGTCCTCCATCCGTCGGGGGTGAGACTGCTCTTGGCTGTACTGCCCTTGGCTGTGATGTTCTTGAGGACAGACAAGAGGAGCTGGAGTGCCTTGCTGCCGCTTCACCCTATCACGCGACCATGCTGCTTGCCCCTGAGGGAGACCTGGATGCACTTGACATCCCCACCCCGCGCTCTTACAGAGAGGCGATTTCGGGTGAGTACTCCTCTCAGTGGCAGACAGCCATGGACGCAGAGATAGCTTTCTGGAAGTCCACAGGCACCTACGTCGACGAGGTTCCGCCACCTGGGGCGAACATTGTCAGTGGCATGTGGATTTTCAGGGTGAAGCGGCCGCCGGGTTCTTCGCCTACCTTCAAGGCACGTTACGTTGCTCGAGGCTTCAGTCAGCGTGAGGGGGTTGACTTCTTTCAGAACTTCTCCCCTACCCCAAAGATGACCACTCTTAGGGTGTTGCTACACGTTGCAGCTCAGCGTGAATACGAGCTGCACTCCCTCGACTTCTCGACAGCTTTCTTACAGGGTAGCCTTCACGAGGCCATTTGGTTGCGCCGTCCACAAGGCTTCACTGGGTCGTTTCCTGAGGGTACCCAGTGGAGCCTACGGCGACCAGTGTACGGCCTGCGTCAGGCGCCCCGCGAGTGGCACGACACACTGAGGACGACACTTGCGGCTCTTGAATTTGCTCCTTCGACTGCTGACCCGTCGCTGTTTCTACGGACCGACACTTCTCTGCCGCCGTTCTACATCCTTATGTACGTTGACGACTTGGTTCTTGCTACTGCTGACACTGAGGCACTGGCCCTAGTGAAGGCGGAGCTGCGGAAGAGACACACCTGCACTGACCTGGGTGAGCTGCGGAGCTATCTTCGCTTGCAGATCACCCGGGACAGAGCACGGCGCACCATCACCCTAACTCGGTCACACATGGTGCACCAGGTCCTTCACCGCTTCCGCTTCACGTACTCCTCGCCACAGCCCACTCCTCTGGCTACTGGCCACTCGCTCTCAGCTCCACCTTCGGACGAGTCCGTAGAACCGAGTGGTCCGTACCCAGAGCTTGTGGGCTGCCTCATGTACCTGATGACGTGCACACGACCTGACCTCGTGTACCCTCTCAGCCTTCTGGCTCGCTACGTGGCTCCCGGTAGACACCAAAAGGTGCACTTTGATGTTGCGAAGAGGGTACTGCGTTACTTGTGCAGCACATCGGGCATGGGGCTCGTGCTTGGAGGACGGGGTTCGGTGGTCCTCACAGGACACTCTGACGCTTCGTGGGCCGACGACCAGGCGACTCAACGTTCGTCACTGGGTTACACTTCAGTCTTGGCTCTGATCTGTCTCATGGAGGTCCACTTGTTCTTCTTCTATGCTTAGTTTCAGCAGTGAGGCCGAGATCTACGCTGGGGCCATGGCTGCACAGGAGCTCCGCTGGCTGACCTACTTGCTTACCGACTTGGGGGAGCGGCCTTGTTCTCCTTTAGTTCTGTACGTCGACAACAAGGCAATGCTTGCCTTGTGTCGTCAGCAGAGACTGAAGCACAGAACGAAGCACATTGCTCTGCGCTACTTCCTTGTGCGTGAGCTGCAGCAGCGTGGTCAACTGCGCCTTGTTTTCGTGGCCTCTCGGGCCAACACTGCTGATGTGTTCACCAAGGCCCTTGGGGCTGGTGATCATCAGCGTTTTTGCACTGCTCTTGGGCTTGTGCCCACTCTGCCTCACCTGCTGGTTGCTTGACTTGCTCTTGTTGTACACTGCTATATATCTTTATACCTGCATGTTTACTCTTGCTAGGTTGTGATCTGTGTACTGCCTTGCTATTATAAATCTGCATGTGAACTGGCCTTGTGGCCGCTTGCTTGTGTCAAACATATATATGTTTTATGTTGTAGTTATTGGTAGGCTGTAGTGGGGTAGATTCTGTGGGGTATAACCCCTTAGGGTTTTCCTACTTGCAAAACTCTCTCGATAGTTGAATCCATCCTTGCCTAAGTTTCAACATGGCATCTAAAGCACTAAGGTCTCTAGGACCTAAGAGTAGGGCCCACCTTTAACTGAGTTACCTCACTTATAGCCTCACTGCCTGCCTGCCTGCCCTGCGTGCTGCCCGCGCGCGCCTTGGCTACTTGCGCGCGTCACTTTTTTGTTCGCGCGCGTCACTATTGCAGCCGCCTTAGGAGCCCGCGCGCACCTCGGCCACTCCGTAGCCCGCTGTAGTGCCGCGCGCCGGCCTACTCGCGCAGTCCGCGTCGAGCCCGCGTAGCCCGCCTCCGTGTGCGGCCCGCTTAGGCCCCGCGCGCCGCGTCTGACGCCTACTGAGCCGCGCGTCGAGTCCGCCGCCCGCGCAGCTCGCTGCTGTCCCTGAAGAAGCCGCCCCTGGAGCAGCCGCCCCTGGACCCAGAGCAGCCGCCCCTGGCCCCTGAAGCAGCCGCCCCTGGACTCCGTGCAGCCGCCCCTGGACCCAGAGCAGCCGCCCTTGGCCCCTGCAGCAGCCGCCCCTGGACCCCGAGCAGCCGCCCCTGGCCCCTGAAGCAGGCGCCCCTGGTGCAGCCGCCCCTGGACCCTCGAGCAGCCGCCCCTGGACCCAGAGCAGCCGCCCCTGGCCCCTGCAGCAGCCGCCCGTGGTGCAGCCGCCCCTGGACTCCGTGCCGCCGCCCCTGGACCCAGAGCAGCCGCCCTTGGCCCCTGCAGCAGCCGCCCCTGGAGCATCCGCCCCTGGACCCCGAGCAGCCGCCCTTGGCCCCTGAAGCAGCCGCCCCTGGACCCAGAGCAGCCATCCCTGGCCCCTGAAGCAGCCGCCCCTGGAGCAGCCGCCCCTGGACCCCGAGCAGCAGCCCCTGGCCCCTGAAGCAGCCGCCCCTGGTGCAGCCACCCCTGGACCCAGAGCAGCCGCCCAAGGCCCGTGCAGCAGCCGCCCCTGGTGCAGCCGCCCCTGGTGCAGCCGCCCCTGGACTCCGTGCAGCCGCCCCTGGACTCCGTGCAGCCGCCCCTGGACCCGCGACGCCGCCCCTGGACCCCGTGCAGCCGCCCGCCGAGCGCCGGCCCTACTCGCCCGGCGAGCGCGTGCTCTTCCCGCCACTTGTGAGCACCTGCCTTGTTTGCGCGCTGCCGCGCCATCTCCCTGCCTGCCTGCCACGCCTGCCCTGCACGCACTGCTGCTGCTACTACTGCTGTTACTGCTGCTACTGGCGGTGGCCATATGCAGCTCCAGCGACGTCTGCGTGAGTCCCTCACGCCCCAGCAACTTAGTGAGTGGTACGCTAGTTGGGGTTGTAGGGGTGGCCGCGCTGCTACTGTTGCTATTGCTGTTACTGCTGCTACTGCTGCTACTACTGCTACTGCTGCTACTGGCGATGGCCAGATGCAGCTCCAGTGACGTCCGCGCGAGTCTCTCACGCCCCAGCAGCTTAGTGAGTGGTACGCTAGTTAGGATTGTCGCGGTAGCCGTCGTAGCTGTCGCCCTGGAGCTGGTCAGTTGGGAGCGTCTAGCAAAGGCCAGCTGCAGCTGCATCCATGCGAGACACTTACGCCCCAGCAGCTTCACGAGTGGTACGCTCAGAGTAGAGGGTCTTTGAGTACCGTTCGCTGCCCGTACGTCATTCGCACAGGTGATCGGTCTGGTCAGGCTTGCGGGACGCTTGGTCACACACAGTCCCGCTGCTTCTCCCGTCTGAGTGACGCCTGGCGTACCGAGTTTGGCGACGAGGCTAAGCTCCCCGACTGCGTCGAGCTGCTTGGGCAGAGGGTAGATATATTTGCTCTTGACTATGATGCTATTCTCACTGCCATGTATGCATTGCCTACTAGTGCTGACCGTGCTTGTTACCTGTGCGTACCGCCTAACCCAGGTATAGAGCCTACCGCTCCAGGTGCTGGTGAGTCTGCTCTCTCTGGTACTGCGCCTGCTGAGGCCTTGTACACTTTCACGCTTGACTCTGGTGCTTCTCGCTCCTTCTTTCGCGACAGCACCACCCTGACGCCGCTCAGTCGGCCGGTTCCAGTCTCCCTGGCAGACCCCTCTGGGGGTCCAGTCCATGCAACCTCCTCCACTGTCCTCCCTTGTCCTGCTGTCCCGTCCAGCACACTGTCCGGTCTTTACCTCCCCTCATTCTCTACGAACTTGGTGGCAGGTTCTGCGCTCCAGAACGCGGGTGTTCACAAGTTCACCACTACCTACGAGCGTGTGACACACTGCACGTGTGCTCAGACGGGTCGTCACCTGGCTACTTTCACTCGGCAGCCTAGTTCGGGCCTGTACACACTGACCACTGAGTCCCCTCAGGTAGCTGCGTCTGCGTCTGCGTTAGGTCAGTTTTTGGTTCCCTGCTCATGTTGCGCCTTGTCGCACCGGTCCTTTGGCACCATCGCCTTGGTCACCCCTCGGTGCAGCGCCTTCGCAGCATGCACCGCCGTGTCCTTGTCTCTGGTCTTCTCAGGGTTCTCCCTCCCCTCCCACCCTTGCCTGCTCCTCCCTGTCTTCCCTGTGTCAAGAGGTGGCAGCGCGCCGCTCCTCACTCCTCATCGTTCCCTCCCACAGAGGCTCCCCTTCAGACTCTCCACCTGGACGTGTGGGGCCCAGCCCGCGTCCGTAGACAGGGCCACGAGCGGTACTTCCTGCTGGTCGTCGACGACTACACGCGTTACACCACGGTCTTCCCCTTGCGCACCAAGGGTGAGGTCCCTGATGTTTTGATCCCTTGCATCCGCGCTGCTCGTCTCGAGCTCCGCGAGCGGTTCGCGACGGACTTTCTCGTCTTGCGTCTGCACTCTGACAGAGGTGGTGAGTTTACCTCCGACCTCTTGGCAGCCTTCTGTGAGGAGCACGGCATCACCCAGTCGTTCACGCTTCTGGCCTCTCCGCAGCAGAATGGGGTTGCTGAGCGCTGCATTGGCTTAGTCATGGAGGTCGCTCGTACCTCCATGATCCATGCGGCTGCCACCCATTTTCTGTGGTCGTTTGCGGTCCGGTACGCCGCGCATCAACTCAACCTCTGGCCCCGTGTCTCCTTGCCGGAGACTTCGCCCACCCTGCTGTGGACGGGGAAGGTTGGCGATGCGTCGCGTTTCCGGGTCTGGGGTGCTCGTGCCTTTGTCCGCGATACCACTGCGGACAAGCTCTCCGCCCGCGCTGTTCCCTGTGTCTTCCTTGGCTTTGTCCCTGACGTGCCTGGTTTGTAGTTTTACCACCCCACCTCGCGCCGTGTCTTCCCCTCTCAGGACATCATGTTCGACGAGTCGGTTCCCTTTTACCGTCTCTTCCCCTACCGCACTGCCCCTCTCCCCCCCCCCCCCCCCCCGCCGCTCTTCCTCGCTCCAGGTTCCCCCCAGGTAGACCCCCTCCCCACTCCCGGTCCTGCTCCTTCTGGTGTGTCTCAGGTAGACCCTCCTCCCTTTAGTGCGCCGGTTGAGGTCACTGGTGACTCAGGTTCTGCTGAGGGTGGTCCTACTCGGGGTGCTACTTCTGGGAGTGCTGAGCCTGGGGGTGCTCAGCCTGGGGGTGTGGAGCCTGGGGGTGTGGAGCCTGGGGGTGCTGAGCCTAGGGGGGCTGAGCCTGGAGGTGCGGAGCCTGGGGGTGCGGAGTCTGGAGCTGCTGAGGGTGCTGGCGCTGGAGGTTCTGGAGCTGCTGCGGGTGCTGGCGCTGGAGGTTCTGGGGCTGCTGCGGGTGCTGGCGCTGGAGGTTCTGGAGCTGCTGCGGGTGCTGGCGCTGAGGGTTCTGAGTCTGCTGTTGCGCGGTCTCCCTGGAGTAGCCGCCTTCGTCCGCGTGTGCCTCTCACCTCACAGCAGCTGCACGACTGGTACGGTCGCCGTCAGGGTCGCGCTTCTGGAGCTCGAGGCTCTGCCGCTAGAGGTATTTTTGCTGTTGTCACTAGAGCTGGGAGTGGTGCTGGTCCCGGAGGTGCTCGTACTGGAGGTACTGGAGCTGCTGGGACTAGAGGTGCTGGTTCTGGGGGTGCTGCTGCTTGTGGAGTTGGTCCTGGAGGAGCTGGCGCTGAGGGTTCTGGGGTTGGTGGAGGTACTGGAGCTGCTGGGGGTGCTGGAGCTGCTGGTGCTAGTGGCACTGCACAGCCGCGCCTATTCTTCGCTCCAACGTCTCCGTCGTCTTAGCCACCGCCTGACTCTGTGCTTTGCCATGTTCTTAGTCTCCTTTCGTCTACCGGTCTTCCGTTACAGCGTGGCTCACTACTGCCTGCTCCTTCTCCCTACACTAAGCAGACAGGGGGTCTTACTGAGTGTCGTGAGCCTTCGCCGCGTCCTGTCTCGCCTGTCCGTTCTCGTAGTTCCGGTCGTCGTGTTCCTCGTTCGCGTCAGCCGGCTGTCCCCGACACCCACCTCATAGTCCGTCGTCCTTCCTCTCCTCCACAGTGTGTTCCCCTACCGTCCCCTCCTGCGTCTTCTTTGCCTACCATTCCTGAGCCTGAGTCTGACCGCACCCGTGCTGCTCGCCCTACTGTCACGCGTCTGCTAGCCACAGTTGTCATTGACCTGTCGTTTGAGTCTGCTGCTTTGCTGCCTTAGTAACTAAGCTTGTTGACTTTGCTGCTGCCTGTCGTTTAGACTACGCCACTAGTCTAGTTGCTGAGTCTGAACCTGTCTGTCCTCCGTCTGTCGGGGGTGAGTGTGCTCTTGGCACGGATGTCCTTGAGGACAGGCAGGAGGAGTTTGAGTGCTTTGCCGCTGCTGTACCTCATCTCGTGTCCATGCTGATTGCACCTGAGGGAGACCCGGATGCACCAGACATCCCGACCCCGCGCTCTTACGCTGAGGCGATCGCGGGTGAGTACTCATCTCAGTGGCAGACAGCCATGGACGCAGAGATGGCATCCTGGAAGTCCACAGGCACTTACGTTGACGAGGTTCCCCCTCCTGGGGCGAACATCGTCAGTGGCATGTGGATTTTCAGGGTGAAGCGGCCGCCAGGTTCTCTGCCTGTCTTCAAGGCTCGTTACGTTGCTCGAGGTTTCAGTCAGCGAGAGGGAGTAGACTTCTTCCAGACCTTCTCCCCCACCCCGAAGATGACCACTCTTTGAGTGTTGCTGCACGTTGCTGCTCAGCGTGACTACGAGCTTCACTCTCTTGACTTCAGCACAGCTTTCTTATAGGGCAGCCTGCACGAGGAGATCAGGCTGCGCCGCCCCCCTGGCTTCACTGGGTCGTTCCCTCCTAGTACCCAGTGGAGCCTCTGGCGGCTGGTCTGCGAGGCTGCCTCATGTACCTGATGACCTGCATTCGACCTGACCTTGCGTACCCTCTTGGCCTGCTGGCCCACTACGTGGCTCCTGGTAGGCACCAAAAGGAGCACATGGATGCTGCGAAGAGGGTACTGTGCTACTTGTGCAGTACATCGGGCATGGGGCTCGTGCTTGGAGGGCAGAGCGCAGTTGTCCTCACTGGGCACTCGGACGCCTCTTGGGTTGACGACCTAGCTACGCAGCGGTCGTCATAGGGTTACACCTTCAGCCTTGGCTCTGGTTCAGTTTCCTGGCGTTCTACACGCTTGTCTTCAGTTCTCGGCTCCAGTTGTGAGGCCGAGATCTACGCCACAGCCATGGCTGCTCAGAAGTTACGCTCGCTCACCTACCTGCTGACCGACTTGGGAGAGAGGCCTCGTTCTCCTCCAGTTCTGTACGTCGACAACAAGGCCGTGTCAGAACATATAGCTTACTTGTTTGTGTAGGCTATAGTGGGGTATCCCATAGGGGGTACAACACAATTAGGGTTTCCTATTTGTACTCACTTCGTTCATACTCATTTCATTCTCGTTCAATTCTTCTCATGGAATCAGAGCAGGTCCCCTCCTAGGGACTGTTCCTAGGGCCCACCGAAGCGCGCCCCGAGGCGCGCGTTCTTTTTTTTTTTTTTTTTTAGCGACCCTGCGTGTCGACCCTACCGTCCCGCTCCCGCTGCTCCCTCCTCTTACGGCCGCCCGCCCTAGTGCCCTGACGGCCGCCCGCCCTAGCGCCCTGACGGCCGCCCGCCCTAGCGCCCTGACGGCCGTCCGCCCTAGCGCCCGAGCGCCAACCGCCCTAGCGCCCTGACGGCCGCCCGCCCTAGCGCCCTGACGGCCGCCCGCCCCAGCGCCCGAGCGCCGCCCGCCCTAGCGCCCGAGCGCCGCCCGCCCTAGCGTCCGAGCGCCGCCCGCCCTAGCGCCCGAGCGCCGCCCGCCCTAGAGCCCTGACGGCCGCCCGCCCTAGCGCCCGAGCGCCGCTCGCCCTAGCGCCCTGACGGCCGCCCGCCCTAGCGCCCGTGCGCCACTCGCCCGAGCGCCCTGACGGCCGGCCGCCCGCCCTAGCGCCCGAGCGCCGCCCGCCCTTTCACCCTTACGGCCGCCCGCCCGAACGCCTGAGCGCCGCCCGCCGTCGCCCCAACGCCCTAGCGCCCGACGCCCGCGAGCCGCCCGTCGCAGCCGCCCGTGAGCTCCCTGAGCCGCCCGCGCCGCCGTCCCTGAGCCGCCTGTGCAGCCGCCCGCGAGCCGCCAGTGAGCCGCCCCTCGCGACACCAGCGCCGCACGAGCCGCCCGTATAGCCCAGCAGCCCGAGCCGCCCGAGCCGCCCGCGCTGCCCCAGCAACCCGAGCCGCCCGAGCCGCCCGAGCCGCCCGAGCCGCGCGAGCCGCCCGAGCCGCCCCAGCCGCCCGAGCCGCCCGAGCCGCCCGAGCCGCCCGAGCCGCCCGAGCCGCCCGCGCCGCCCCAGCAACCCGAGCCGCCCGAGCCGTGCCGCTGTTCCTGAGCTGTGTTCCTCTGCTGCTGCACTACCCGACTCTCCCAGCCCGGTGAGACTTTCAGCTGCTGCCATGGCCACCCCCAATGTCCTTACTTTTGACGCTGAGGGGAGGGCCATTGACTTTGCCGTCTGGATTGAAGACCTGCAGCTGTACTTACTATGTGATGCGATAGATGAGGTCTCTCTCTTTGACTTTGTCTCTGGCGCTGTCCCTGCCCCACCTGCTGATGCTGACTCTGCCGTTCGCTCCAAGTGGGCGACCCGCGATGCTGCTGCACGTCTTGCTGTGCGTCGCCACCTCCCTTCCTCTGAGCGTGCCCACTTTAGTCAGTGCAAGACCGCTCAGGCCTTGTACGACGCTGTAGTTGCACGCTACTCCTCCCCTTCCTCCGCTACCCTTAGCCGCCTCATGCTACCGTTTCTCTTCCCTGACCTCGCCTCCTTTCCCACTGTTGCTGACCTCGTTACCCACCTCCGTGCTAGTGACACCCGCTACCGCGCTGCCCTTCCTGCTGAGTTCCGCGCTGCGAACCCTCCTCCCATGTACATCACTCTCTACTTTCTCGTCACCCGTCTCCCTGAGTCCCTTCGTGCCGTTAGGGACCAGTTTCTCTCTGTCTGTCCCACCACTCTCACTGTCGATCTCCTTGAGGAGTCCCTGCTAGCGGCTGAGAAGAGTATTGTCGCTGTAGGGGCCTCTCGGGGTGACCCTCGCACCCCCATCTTTGAGGGGTGTGGTCCTTCCCCCCTGCTGCCCTCTGTCGCCTCTGCCGCTGCGGCCGACCTCACTGGTTTTGAGTCGGTCGGCGCGGCGTCTGCCCCCAGCGGCAGACGCCGCTCTGGCAAGGGCAAAGGGGGCAAGGGAGCGGGTGGAGCTAGAGGGGGCGGTGGAGGAGGCGGTGGGGGTGGCGGGGGGAGTGGGGGTGGCGGTGGGGGTGGTGGCGGGAGTGGAGGTACTGGTGGCGGCGGTGGAGGCGGAGGTGGCGGCGGAGGTGGTAGCGGAGGAGGCGGTGGGAGCGGTGGGAGCGACGGTCCTGGTGGGGGAGGTGGCGGTGGAGACGGGGGTGGCGGTGGAGGCGGGGGTGGCGGTGGAGGCGGGGGTCGGAGTGGCTCGTCCCAGCGGAGCAGCTCTGGGGGTGGTCAGCGCCAGCAGCAGCAGCAGCAGCAGCAGCAGCCGCAGCAGCAGCCACAGCAGCAGCAGCGCTCTCGCACCGTCCCCGGCCCTCAGCAGCTCCGTGAGTGGTACTTGCAGCGTCAGCGTGGTGGTGCGCTTGGTCCCTGCCCCTACGTTCTTCGCACAGGTGACCGTGCAGGGGAGAGGTGTGGAGGCGCCCACACGGCCCGCCGCTGCTTTGGCCGCCTGACCGACGCCTGGCGTCAGCAGTTTCCGGATGCCGCTGAGATCCCCCGCTGGGGAGAGCTGTCTAGGGCTGGTGTAGCTATTTATGATCTTGATTTTGATGCTATTCTCTCTGCTATGTATGCTGTGACTGGTAGTGATGAGGATGACTGTTACCGGTGTTTCCCGCCCGACCCGGGCATTGGTACTGCCGCGTCAGGTACTAGTGAGGCTGCTGCTCTAGGTGCCAGTGCGTCTGTGCTCTCAGGTACTGGTGAGTCTGCCCTCTCAGGTACTGTGTCGGCTTCGGCCTCTCACACCTTCACCCTTGACTCTGGAGCGTCTCGCTCCTTCTTTAGGGACCGCACCACTCTCACGCCGCTGAGTCGGCCGGTTGCGGTGTCCCTGGCTGACCCCTCTGGGGGGCCTGTCCTGTCTCGCTTCTCCACTGTCCTCCCGTGTCCGGCGGCCCCCTCTGGCACCCTGACTGGTCTCTACCTTCCCTCGTTCTCGACGAACTTGGTGAGTGGTGCTGACCTCCAGGATGCGGGTGTCCACCAGTTCACCCCTGCTCGTCAGCGGGTGACCCACTGCACGGAGGCGGATACAGGTCGCCACCTGGCTACGTTTACACGTCGGCCAGGGTCGAGCCTCTACACACTGACCACTGCTTCTCCTCCAGGTGCTACGTCTGGTAGGGTCCCTTCGTCTGGTCAGGTGTTTGCTGCAGCGTCCAGGTCTGGTCCTGAGTCCGCCCCCTGCTCGTGTCGTCGTCTGTCTCACGAGACCCTCCTCTGGCACCACCGCCTTGGCCACCCCTCTCTGCTTCGGCTCAGAGGCATGGCCTCGCGAGTCCTTGTGTCTGGTCTTCCCCGGTCTCTCCCTCCCCTTCCTCCGGGCCCTGGCCCCACCTGTGTCCCCTGTGTCGAGGGGCGCCAGCGTGCTGCCCCTCACTCCTCCCAGTTTCCTCCGACAGAGGCCCCGTTGCAGACGCTTCACATGGACGTGTGGGGCCCAGCCCGCGTCCGTGGACAGGGTCAGGAGCGCTACTTCCTGCTGGTGGTTGACGACTACTCGCGTTACACCACAGTCTTCCCCTTGCGCAGCAAGGGTGAGGTCACTGAGGTGTTGATCGACTGGATCCGCGCAGCTCGTCTCCAGCTTCGGAGGAGCTTTGGCTCTGACTTCCCTGTTTTACGTCTGCACTCGGACAGAGGCGGAGAGTTCTCCTCTGGCCTCCTGAGTGCCTACTGTCGTGCGCGAGGCATCCGTCAGACCTTCACGCTTCCGGACTCACCACAGCAGAATGGGATTGCTGAGCGCCGCATTGGCATGGTCATGGACGTCGCTCGTACGTCCATGATGCATGCGGCTGCTCCCCATTTTCTGTGGCCGTTTGCGGTCAGTTACGCTGCGCACCAGATCAACCTCCACCCCAGGGTCTCTCGACCGGAGACCTCCCCAGCCCTGCTGTGGACGGGGAAGGTTGGCGATGCGTCGGCGTTCCGGGTCTGGGGATCTCGGGCGTTTGTTCGCGACCTGTCTGCGGACAAGCTGTCCCCTCGTGCTTCTCCCTGCGTCTTCCTGGGGTTCCCCCCCGACGCCCCTGGGTGGCAGTTTTACCACCCCACCTCTCGACGTGTTCTGTCCTCCCAGGACGTCACGTTCGACGAGTCGGTACCCTACTACCGCCTCTTCCCCTACCGCACTCCGTCCCTCCCCCCACCCCCGCTCTTCTTGGTACTAGGTCCCCCCCCGGTAGTCCCCCTCCCCCCTCAGGGTCCTGCCCCTTCAGGTGTGTCCCAGGTAGACGCGGTCGAGCCTGTCGAGGTCACTGGTGACTCTGGTGCTGCTGCGGGAGCTGAGCCTGGGGGTGCGGAGTCTGGGGGTGCTGAGCCTGGAGGTGCCGAGTCTGGGGGTGCTGAGCCTGGGGGTGCTGAGCCTGGGGGTGCTGTGCCTAGGGGTGCTGAGCCTGGAGGTGCCGAGTCTGGGAGTGCTGTGCCTGGGGGTGCTGAGCCTGGAGGTGCTGTGCCTGGGGGTGCTTCGTCTCGCCGGGAGCCACTCTCCCCACAGGAGCTGCGTGAGTGGTTTGCCAGGCGCTGGAGGCGTGCTGCTGGTGCGGGTGGTTCTTCGGCTGCAGAGGGTACTGCTGCCGCGCGTCCCGCCGGTGCTCGTACTGTGGGTGCTGGAGCTGCTGGGTCTGAGAATTCTCCTGGAGCTGGTCCTGCTGAGGGTGTTGGCGCTGAGCCTGCCGTTGGCGGTCCGACTGACAGTGCTCCTGGTGCTGCGGCTGGGGGTTCTGGAGCTTCTGGTGGTGCTGCTGGAGGTGCTGCTGGAGTGGGTGCTCCTGCCGGGGCTGCTGGTGCTGTTCCTGCTGTTTCTAGCGTCGCCGCGCGGCCCCGACCGTACTTCGTTCCGCTCCTGCAGCAGGTTCTTGGTCTTACCCCTCCTCCTCCTCCCTTAGAGGGTTCGCAGCCTGTCCGGTCACAGCCACAGCTACAGCCTGCCTCCCCTTTGCCTGCTCCTTCTCCCTACGCTGGTCCGACTGGAGGTCTTACTGAGCGTCGTGAGCCTGCGTCTCGTCCTGTGTCGCCTGTTCGTACTGAGCGCGCTAGTGGTCGCGGGTCGCGTCAGCGTCCTCCTCCTGTCCCTGGCACGCACCGGATGTCACTGCGTCCGTCCACTGCTCCTCTGCGTGCCCCTTTGCCTTCTCCTCCTGCTTCCTCTCTTCCTGCTCTTGCCGACCCGGAGTCGGACTCTCTTCGTGCTGCCAGTCCCACTGTCACGCGTCTCCTGGCTACTGCTGTCACTGACCCCTCCTTCGAGTCGTCTGCTGCGTCTGCCCTTGTCACTGAGCTTGTCGACTTTGCTGCGCGCTGTCGTCTAGACTACGCTGCTCGTCTTGTCACTGAGTCTGAGTCCGCCTGTCCTCCGTCCGTCGGGGGTGAGTGTGCCCTTGGCACGGACGTCCTTGAGGACAGGCAGGAGGAGTTCCAGTGTCTGGCCGCCGCTTCACCTCGTCTCGCGTCTGTACTGCTAGCCCCTGAGGGAGACCCGGATGCACCAGACATCCCGACTCCGCGCTCTTACGCGGAGGCGATAGAGGGTCCCTACTCCTCTCAGTGGCAGGCAGCTATGGATGCAAAGATGGCTTCCTGGAAGTCCACAGGCACCTACGTTGACGCTGTTCCCCCTCCTGGGGCGAACATCGTCAGTGGCATGTGGATTTTCAGGGTGAAGCGGCCGCCGGGTTCTCCGCCTGTCTTCAAGGCGCGTTACGTGGCTCGTGGCTTCAGTCAGCGGCAGGGGGTTGACTACTTTCAGACCTTCTCCCCCACCCCGAAGATGACCACTCTTCGGGTTCTGCTGCACGTTGCTGCTCACCGTGACTACGAGCTGCACTCTCTCGACTTCAGCACAGCTTTCTTGCAGGGCAGCCTGCACGAGGAGATCTGGCTGCGTCGCCCACCTGGCTTCACTGGGTCTTTCCCTCCTGGTACCCAGTGGAGTCTCCGGCGTCCAGTCTACGTTCTCCGCCAGGCGCCACGTGAGTGGCACGACACACTGAGGACTACGCTCGCGGCACTTGGGTTTGCTCCTTCCACTGCCGACCCGTCGCTGTTTCTGCGCACCGACACCTCTCTGCCGCCGTTCTACATCCTCGTGTACGTCGACGACTTGGTCTTTGCCACAGCGGACACTGCTGGACTCGCCTACGTGAAGTCCGAGCTGCAGAAGAGACACACGTGCACTGACCTGGGTGAACTGCGCAGCTACCTTGGCTTGCAGATCACCCGGGACAGAGCACGCCGCACCATTACCCTGACTCAGTCACACATGGTGCAGCAGGTCCTTCAGCGCTTCGGCTTCACGTACTCCTCGCCTCAGGCCACTCCTCTGCCTACTCGCCACTCGCTCTCAGCTCTGCCTTCGGATGAGTCCGTAGAGTCGAGTGGCCCGTACCCAGAGCTTGTTGGCTGCCTCATGTACCTGATGACCTGCACACGACCTGACCTCGCATACCCTCTTAGCATTCTCGCACGCTTTGTTGCTCCTGGGAGACACCGACCAGAGCACATGGCTGCAGCGAAGAGGGTGTTGCGCTACTTGTGCAGTACGTCGGGCATGGGGCTAGTGCTTGGAGGGCGCAGTCCAGTGGTCCTCACTGGGCACGCAGACGCTTCTTGGGCTGACGACCAGGCTACGCAGCGGTCGTCACAGGGTTACACCTTCAGCCTTGGTTCCGGCTCTGTCTCGTGGCGGGCTACCCGCTCGTCTTCTGTTCTCGGCTCCAGTTGTGAGGCTGAGATCTACGCTGGGGCTATGGCTGCACAGGAGTTACGCTGGCTCACCTACCTGCTGACCGACCTTGGAGAGCAGCCTCGTTCTCCTCCAGTCCTGTACGTAGAGAACAAGGCCATGCTGGCCTTGTGTCGAGAGCAGCGACTGGAGCACAGAACGAAGCACATTGCTCTTCGCTACTTTCTTGCTCGTGAGCTACAGCAGCGTGGACAGCTGCGACTTGCGTACGTGGCCTCTGAGGCCAACACTGCTGATGTCTTCACCAAGGCACTTGCGCCTTGTGATCATCAGCGTTGCTGCACGCAGTTGGGTCTTGTGCCTGTCTTGCCTCACTTGCTCTCCTCTTGACCTTGCTTGTACCTTCGCATATATATACTCTTGCTCTTGCTTGCTTGACTCTTGTATACCTCTATATATGATCTTGCATGTGAACTGGCCTTGTGGCCTTTGAACTTGTGCTCGGAATGCGTGGTGACTTTGTGATCCACCCTGAGCTTTGCTTTGCTTTGCTTGACTGGTCTTGTGACCCCTTGTTCTCCCCCACTTTGCCTATGGGGGTGTGTCAGAACATATAGCTTACTTGTTTGTGTAGGCTATAGTGGGGTATCCCATAGCGGGTACAACACAATTAGGGTTTCCTATTTGTACTCACTTCGTTCATACTCATTTCATTCTCGTTCAATTCTTCTCAGGCCGCCATTGCCTTGTGTGAGGAGCACAGACTAGAGCACAGAATGAAGCACATCGCTCTACGTTACTTCCTGGCTCGAGAGTTGCAGCAGCGGGGTCAGCTTCGCCTTGCTCACGTGGCCACTCGGGCCAACACTGCTCATATATTCACCAAGGCACTTCCGTCTGGTGACCATCAGCGCTTTTGTACTTTGTTGGGTCTTGTGCCTAAGTTTCCGCACTTGCTGTAGACTCTGCTTGTACTGTGATCTATATGTATATACCTGCATGCCTGCTCTTGCTAGGTAGAGATCACTGTACTGTTCTTGCTGCATATATACCTCTGCATGCGGACTGGCCTTGTGGCCCTTTGCTTGTGCTCAGAGTGTGTGGCGACGTTGTGATCCACTTTGAGCTTGCTTTGCTTCTCTTGATTGGTTTTGTGACCTCTTGCTCTCCCCCACTTTGGCTATGGGGGTGTGTCAAACATATATATGCTATATGTTGTAGTTATTGGTAAGCTGTAATGGGTTAGACTTTGTGGGGTATAGCCCCTTAGGGTTTTCCTACTTGCAAAACTCTCTCGATAGTTGAATCCATCCTTGCCTAAGTTTCAACAGCTTGTGCTCAGATTGTGTGGTGTCCTTGAGATCCACCCTGGGCTTTGCCTTGCTTGTTCTCTTGCTTGACTGGTATTGTGATCACTGTTAGGTTTGGCTATCCCCTACTTCACCTATGGGGGTGTGTCAAAACATATTGTTCTGTTCATTTCACTCTAGGTTGTTAGGGGTCACACCTTAGAGGGTACAACCCAACTCTCTCGATAGTCTTGTACCCCCTCCCTCTTACCTAACACACATTCCTTCTTAGTATTCTAACACATAAGCAGCATGATAGTTTGACAAGTAGCATATATACATACTGTTTATTTAGGAAATACAGAGGAATGCGAAACGACCTAGACGAGCCATGTACTCTAAGAAGTACATTCCCTTATTACAGCGAATTCAAACCGTGTGGCGCGGGAACCTGTTTCAAACCTGTTCCCCCTCTTTCCATTTCAAAGGTTTCTGCTTGCGTCGGTCCTGGTCAGACGGTTGATTGTGTCGCTTCGACTCTTCTGACTCCTCGACTTCGTACTCGGTAGAGTCAGCTCCTGCAGCTCCTGCTCGTTGAATTTCATATGGTAATAGGAGCAATGTGGCCAGCTTCCGAAGCTAGAGAACAATCAAGCGAGTTGTGGATAAGTTCTGAAAATGTGAAGGTGGAGGAATGATCTCATACTTTCTAAAGTGGATTCAGTATTCTTAGGGTTTTATTTATGTACAGAGTACTTCCTCGAACAGACCCAATGCAATAACGCTCGACGAAACCAACAATTCGCCAAACCAACAAATACGCCCATAAAACGTAGCCTGTGACGTAGGTATGTGAAGTTTTTTCGAAGCGCCATATCTCATTTTCATCTACAACTAAACCGCAAAAGCATGCCCAACGAGATTTGATTTTTTCTGCTGCGATGCCACGTAAACTCCGTAGAAGCGCGCCGAGAAGTCTGTCTGCATGCACGCGGCGGCGGAACGCACCCACGCGCAGCAATGGTCGCTCTCGTCTGCCTCCTCCGCGCGACTCCCGGCGCGCATTGCCAACCCTCCGCGCCTTTCCGAACCTCCTCGCGTCTCCAACCCTCCGCGCTTGAAAGACCCGCCCCGGCGGACTGCCGCTCCGCCGTCCGCGCCGTCCGCCACTTCCACGCCATCCGGGGGCTTTCCCGGGGACTCCGCACCAGCCCCGCGTCCCCTTACGGCGCAGAGCGCGGCGGAGAGGGGCGTGCGTGCGGTGTACGAGGCTCTGTCAGCGCGCGAGAGGCGCAAGTTGCGCGCCGCGCTGTTCCCCCTACGAGCGCGCGCGGCGGAGTCGGCGAGCGCGGTGTGGCAGGAGAGCTGGGGGGTGGTGGCGCGCCTCGTTGCTGCGGAGTTGGTGCGCGCAGCCCCACGTGCTCGCGCCTCCCCACACCACTCCCTCCCTCTCTCTTTCCCTAGCTCTACCCCCACCTTTCTCTCCCCCACATTTACCCCCCCAGCACTCTCACTCCACTTTTTCCCCCCCACCTTTTTCCTCTCACCTCTCTCCCCGCACCTCTCCCCACCTGTCTCCCCCCACCACTCTCCCTCCTTCTCCCCACCCCACATTACTCCCCACCTCCGCACCACACCACCCTCCTGCTGCCCCGTCGCCTCCTTGTTCAGCCCCTCCCGCTATCCACCCTCTCCTCCCCTTCCCGGCCCCCCTCCCCCCTGCTTGATGTGAAGGTCTGAGCCCAATCCCTTCCCTTCTCCCCCCCCCAACCATCGCCCCTCTCCCCGCCTCCCTTCCCCGCATCCGTCTCTGCCTCCCCCTTTCCAGGGTGAACCGGACACAGGGGAGGAACAAGGGGGGCGGCGGGCGGGGGGGCGCAGAGGAGCGGGTTGTGATGCGGAAGCACAGGGGGTTGGGGAGAGAGGACGGAAGGAGGCAAGACGGCTGCGAATGGAAGAGCAGAAGCAGGTGTTAACTGTGGTGGAGGTGTTATCTGAGGGGGTGGTGAGGGCGGGGAGAGGCGCAGTGGCGGCGGGGGAGGTGGAGGAGCTGGTGTGGGCGGCGTTCGTGAAGAGCCACGAGGCTGTGCTCACCCCGGAGCACTGGACCAGCTTTGTCCCTCTGCTGCTCAAACTGGTACGCCTCGCACTGGTGTGGTAGGTGTTGTGTTGCTTTGGTGGTTGATTGAATCACTGGCAAGAGCTGGACGACACATGCTAGCAACGAGCTGATTCAATCCCCGCATGGATTCCGAATAAACCACACGCCCTCCCGTTTGTTCTTCTGTGTCACGATTTCATCCACCTGCCCACCCGCGCGCCGTCAGGTGGCGAGGCACGGAGCGCTGCTATTGGGCAAGCGCAGCAACGGGCGGCTGGCGAAGAACATGACGCACTGGCTGCTGCACTGCGCTGTCTTCGCTGCCCACGCTGCCGTGCGCGAGAGGGCGCTCGTGGGACTGCTGCTCCTCATCGCCGTACGCCTCCCTCCTGCCCTCCTTCCCGCTTGTCTGCCTGCCTGCCTGCCTGCCTGCCTGCCGGCCTGGCTGCCTGCCTGCCTGCCTGCCTGCCTGCCCTAGCAACTTCTCCGTCCCTCTCTCCCTCTCCCTCCCTCTCCCTCCCTCTCCCTCACTCTCCCTCCCTCTCCCTCCCTCTCCCTCCCTCTCCCTCCCTCTCCCTCCCTCTCCCTCCCTATCCCTCCCTCCCTCCCTCCCTCCCTCCCTCCCTCCCTCCCTCCCTCCCTCCCTCCCTCCCTCCCTCCCTCCCTCCATCCCTCCCTCCCTCCCTCTCTCCCTCTCTCCCTCTCTCCCTCCCTCCCTCCCTCCCTCCCTCCCTCCCTCCCTCCCTCCCTCCCTCCCTCCCTCCCTCCCTCCCTCCCTCCCTCCATCCCTCCCTCTCTCCCTCTCTCCCTCCCTCCCTCCCTCCCTCCCTCCCTCCCTCCCTCCCTCCCTCCCTCCCATCCCCCTCCCTACCTCCTTCCCTCCCTCCCTCCCTCCCTCCCTCCCTCCCTCCCTCCCTCCCTCCCTCCCTCCCTCCCTCCCTCCCTCCCTCCCTCCCTCCATCCCTCCATCCCTCCCTCCCTCCCTCTCTCCCTCTCTCCCTCTCTCCCTCCCTCCCTCCCTCCCTCCCTCCCTCCCTCCCTCCCTCCCTCCCTCCCTCCCTCCATCCCTCCCTCTCTCCCTCTCTCCCTCCCTCCCTCCCTCCCTCCCTCCCATCCCCCTCCCTCCCTCCCTCCCTCCGTCCCTCTCTCCCTCTCTCCCTCCCTCCCATCCTCCCTCCCTCCCATCCTCCCTCCCTCCCTCCCTCCCTCCCACCCTCCCTCCCTCCCTCTCTCCCTCTCTCCCTCTCTCCCTCCCTCCCAACCTACCTCCCTCCCTCCCTCCCTCCCTCCCTCCCTCCATCCCTCCCTCCCTCCCTCTCTTCCTCTCTCCCTCCCTCCCTCCCTCCCTCCCTCCCTCCCTCCCTCCCTCCCTCCCTCCCTCCCTCCCTCCCTCCATCCCTCCCTCTCTCCCTCTCTCCCTCCCTCCCTCCCTCCCTCCCATCCCCCTCCCTCCCTCCCTCCCTCCCTCCCTCCCTCACTCGCCCCCGCCCCTCCTCCCTCCCTCCCTCCCTCCCTCCCTCCCTCCCTCCCTCCCTCCCTCCCTCCCTCCCTCCCTCCATCCCTCCCTCCCTCCCTCCCTCCCTCCCTCCCTCCCTCCCTCCCTCCCTCCCTCCCTCCCTCCCTCCCTACCTCCTCCCTCCCTCCCTCCCTCCATCCCTCCCTCTCTCCCTCTCTCCCTCCCTCCCTCCCTCCCTCCCATCTCCCTCCCTCCCTCCCTCCCTCCCTCCCTCCCTCCCTCCATCCCTCCATCCCTCCCTCCCTCCCTCTCTCCCTCTCTCCCTCTCTCCCTCCCTCCCTCCCTCCCTCCCTCCCTCCCTCCCTCCCTCCCTCCCTCCCTCCCTCCATCCCTCCCTCTCTCCCTCTCTCCCTCCCTCCCTCCCTCCCTCCCATCCCCCTCCCTCCCTCCCTCCCTCCGTCCCTCTCTCCCTCTCTCCCTCCCTCCCATCCTCCCTCCCTCCCATCCTCCCTCCCTCCCTCCCTCCCTCCCACCCTCCCTCCCTCCCTCTCTCCCTCTCTCCCTCTCTCCCTCCCTCCCAACCTACCTCCCTCCCTCCCTCCCTCCCTCCCTCCCTCCATCCCTCCCTCCCTCCCTCTCTTCCTCTCTCCCTCCCTCCCTCCCTCCCTCCCTCCCTCCCTCCCTCCCTCCCTCCCTCCCTCCCTCCCTCCCTCCCTCCATCCTCCCTCTCTCCCTCTCTCCCTCCCTCCCTCCCTCCCTCCCATCCCCCTCCCTCCCTCCCTCCCTCCCTCCCTCACTCCCTCCCTCCCTCCCTCCCTCCCTCCCTCCCTCCCTCCCTCCCTCCCTCCCTCCCTCCCTCCCTCCCTCCCTCCCTCCCTCCCTCCCTCCCTCCCTCCCTCCCTCCCTACCTCCCTCCCTCCCTCCCTCCATCCCTCCCTCTCTCCCTCTCTCCCTCCCTCCCTCCCTCCCTCCCATCTCCCTCCCTCCCTCCCTCCCTCCCTCCCTCCCTCCCTCCCTCCCTCCCTCCCTCCCTCCCTCCCTCCCTCCCTCCCTCTCTCCCTCTCTCCCTCTCTCCCTCCCTCCCATCCTCCCTCCCTCCCATCCTCCCTCCCTCCCTCCCTCCCTCCCTCCCTCCCTCCCTCCCTCCCTCCCTCCCTCCCTCCCTCCCTCCCTCCCTCCCTCCCTCCCTCCCTCCCTCCCTCCCACCCTCCCTCCCTCCCTCTCCCCCTCTCTCCCTCTCTCCCTCCCTCCCATCCCCCTCCTCCCTCCCTCCCTCCCTCCCTCCATCCCTCCCTCTCTCCCTCTCTCCCTCCCTCCCATCCTCCCTCCCTCCCTCCCTCCCATCCCCCTCCCTCCCTCCCTCCCTCCCTCCCTCCATCCCTCCCTCTCTCCCTCTCTCCCTTCATGAAGAAGGGCAGCAGTAGGCAAGGTCGCCTTTAGCAAAGGTCAACCAGTGAAAAAAGTAACCCTCGAAATTTGAGGTCATAAGCGCCTCAAAGGTCATAAGTCCCTGCCCCCAGGTCCTGATGCAGCGCTGTCCCTGTCGCACCCCGCTCACTCCCACGCATCCATGGGCAGCACCCATGGGCAGCATCCATGGGCAGCATCCATGGGCAGCGTCCATGGGCAGCATCCATGGGCAGCATCCATGGGCAGCATCCATGGGCAGCATCCATGGGCAGCATCCATTGGCAGCATCCATGGGCAGCATCCATGGGCAGCATCCATGGGCAGCATCCATGGGCAGCATCCATGGGCAGCATCCATGGGCAGCATCCATGGGCAGCATCCATGGGCAGCATCCATGGGCAGCATCCATGGGCAGCATCCATGGGCAGCATCCATGGGCAGCATCCATGGGCAGCATCCATGGGCAGCATCCATGGGCAGCATCCATGGGCAGCATCCATGGGCAGCATCCATGGGCAGCATCCATGGGCAGCATCCATGGGCAGCATCCATGGGCAGCATCCATGGGCAGCATCCATGGGCAGCATCCATGGGCAGCATCCATGGGCAGCATCCATGGGCAGCATCCATGGGCAGCATCCATGGGCAGCATCCATGGGCAGCATCCATGGGCAGCATCCATGGGCAGCATCCATGGGCAGCATCCATGGGCAGCATCCATGGGCAGCATCCATGGGCAGCATCCATGGGCAGCATCCATGGGCAGCATCCATGGGCAGCATCCATGGGCAGCATCCATGGGCAGCATCCATGGGCAGCATCCATGGGCAGCATCCATGGGCAGCATCCATGGGCAGCATCCATGGCAGCATCCATGGGCAGCATCCCATGGGCAGCATCCATGGGCAGCATCCATGGGCAGAATCCAGGGCAGCATCCATGGGCAGGCATCCATGGGCAGCATCCATGGGCAGCATCCATGGGCAGCATCCATGGGCAGCATCCATGGGCAGCATCCATGGGCAGCATTCCATGGGCAGCATCCATGGGCAGCATCCATGGGCAGCATCCATGGGCGCTCCATGGGCAAGCATCCATGGGCAGCATACATGGGCAGCATCCATGGGCAGCATCCATGGGCAGCATCCATGGGCACATCCATTGGCAGCATCCATGGCAGCATCCATGGGCAGTCATCCATGGGGCAGCATCCATGGGGCAGCATCCATGGGCAGCATCCATGGCAGCATCCATGGGCAGCATCCATGGGCAGCATCCATGGGCAGCATCCATGGGCAGCATCCATGGGCAGCATCGCCATTGGCAGCATCCATGGGGCAGCATCCCATGGGCAGCATCCATGGGCAGCATCCATGGGCAGCATCCTGGCAGCATCCATGGGCAGCATCCATGGGCAGCATCCATGGGCAGCATCCATGGGCAGCATCCATGGGCAGCATCCATGGGCAGCATCCATGGGCAGCATCCATGGGCAGCATCCATGGGCAGCATCCATGGGCAGCATCCATGGGCAGCATCCAGGGGCAGCATCCATGGGCAGCATCCATGGGCAGCATCCATGGGCAGCATCCATGGGCAGCATCCATGGGCAGCATCCATGGGCAGCATCCATGGGCAGCATCCATGGGCAGCATCCATGGCAGCATCCATGGGCAGCTCCATGGGCAGCATCCATGGGCAGCATCCATGGGCAGCATCCATGGGCAGCATCCATGGGCAGCATCCATGGGCAGCATCCATGGGCAGCATCCATGGGCAGCATCCATGGGCAGCATCCATGGGCAGCATCCATGGGCAAGCATCCATGGGCAGCATCCATGGGCAGCATCCATGGGCAGCATCCATGGGCAGCATCCATGGGCAGCATCCATGGGCAGCATCCATGGGCAGCATCCATGGGCAGCATCCATGGCAGGCAGTCCATGGGCAGCATCCATGGGCAGCATCCATGGGCAGCAATCCATGGGCAGCATCCATGGGCAGCATCCATGGCAGCATCCATGGGCAGCATCCATGGGCAGCATCCATGGGCAGCATCCATGGGCAGCATCCATGGGCAGCATCCATGGGCAGCATCCATGGGCAGCATCCATGGGCAGCAATCCATGGGCAGCATCCATGGGCAGCATCCATGGGCAGCATCCATGGGCAGCATCCATGGGCAGCATCCATGGGCAGCATCCATGGTCAGCATCCATGGGCAGCATCCATGGGCAGCATCCATGGGCAGCATCCATGGGCAGCATCCATGGGCAGCATCCATGGGCAGCATCCATGGGCAGCAACCATGGGCAGCATCCATGGGCAGCATCCATGGGCAGCATCCATGGGCAGCATCCATGGGCAGCATCCATGGGCAGCATCCATGGGCAGCATCCATGGGCAGCATCCATGGGCAGCATCCATGGGCAGCATCCATGGGCAGCATCCATGGCACAAAGCTGTTCCGTGATGCCAAGCCACACCGTGTCAATCCACGCCGCCCGCTCTGCTCGCTCCCTCACTGCCCACCGCCTGCTGCTGTTTCCGTGCACCCCAGTTTTCTTCTCCGCTTCCCTTTCCCCTTCTCTCTTACCCCCACCTACCCACCCACTCCCCCTGCAGGACTCAGTGAGGGAGAGTGGGACAGTCGCTGCCATCACCGTCTCCCTCACTCTCTCCTCTATCGACCTCCTCACTCGCCCCTGCACTCCCCTCTACCCTCCTCACTCCCCTTCCTCGATCCTCCCCCTCTCTCCCGACTCGCCCGTCTCCACGCATCCGGCTGTGGAGTTCATCCAACCCACTCACCCCACTCTTCCTGCTCCCGCTGCTCTCAAGCCTCCTCCGGGATGGAAAGGAGGGGCGCTCACAGCAGGTGGTGCTGCTGATGGTGCTTTTGCTCCTTACGGTGATTATCAGCAGCAGCAGCAGCAGCAGCAGCAGCAGCAGCAGCAGCAGCAGCAGCAGCAGCAGCAGCAGCAGCAGCAGCAGCAGCAGCAGCATCAACGGCATCGTCGGTCCTTCTCTCTTGCTCCTGACGCTCTCAGCAGCCACACAGCAGCATCGTTCTCCCCCTTACCCCCTCCTCCTGGCTCTGCCGCCGCCACTGCTGCTGCTGCCACTGGCACTGCCTCTGCAACCGCTCACAACCCCCTTCAACACCTCAACAACAGTAGCAGCAACAGTGGCGCACAGCACGCATCACACACGCGATCCCACAGCCACGGAGGCGGGCTGCTGCTCCCCGCCTCACACCACGCCCAGCGCCCGCGAGTGGGACGCGCGCGAGCGGGCAGCGTGGGGGGCTGGGCTGACCTCACCGCGCATGCCCTGCCTGGGTCAAGCGAGCGGCAGTGGCTTGATGACGAGGGGCACAGCCTTGGCTCCGACGACAGGCACGGCCCTTCCACCGCCCGCAGCACGCACAGCCACGGCATGCCGAGGGGTAGGGGGAGTGACTGGCAGCATGGGGGAGAGGGGAGGGCAGAGGGACGAGGAGGCGGAAGGGGAGGCAAGGCGGAGCAAGAGCAGGAGCAAGAGAAGGAGCAGCAGCAATCCTCCCTGTGGCCTTCCTCTGATGTTTCCTCCGCCCCTCTTGCCTGCGTGGCCCTCGCTGCCTCGCACCCCCTCCGCCCTGCTTCTGGCGTCTCCTCTTTCACCCCCGCCTGGGACCCCTCCTCTCTACCTTTTTCCTGCCCGCCCTCCTTGGAATCTGCTTACTCTGCCGCCTGCCCGCCTACTAAGGCGCCTGCTCCTGCTGCACTACCAGCTATGGCCCAATCCGTGCAGCTTGGCTCGGCAGCGGTGTTGGATCCGGCCGGTATAGGTCCGGCAGGGCTGCCTGTAGACGAGCCCAGGACAGGTCCGGGGAGACCCGGGAGGTTTGGCAGACGAGGAACGGAAGGGTGGGGGAAAGGGAGGATAGTGGAGGAGGGGACGGAGGATATGAGTGAGAACTCTTGGGAAGATGAACGGGGGAATAGGGCTATGAGGAGAGATGGAGAAGGAGCAGAAGGAGGGGAAGAAGCACAAGGACAAGGGTGGAGTAAGCAGCGCGAGTGGGACAAGGAGCATCATGAACGGTTCAGAGCGGTGGTGAGGATGGTGGGGTCGGGCACGCAGGGCAGGAGGTTGCTGGGGGCCGTGGGGCTGGGCGAGCAGGTGCTGGCAGACCTGGCGAGGCGCTGGCGGTGGCACGAGGTGAAGGCGCTCTCTGCCGTGCTGCGCCATGCTGTGGACGCATGGCAGGAGCATGCTGACATGGTGAGTGGCAGGATTGAGCATGCCTCACTCACATTGATTGATGCCTCAATTACACCCATGCGTCACACCCACCATGCCTCCATCGCATCTACCATCCAATGTGCCCCTCACTCAACCCCACTTGCTTCGCCTTGCCTCCCTTTCTTCCCACCCCAAGTCGTCAGTGCTCTCGTGTCAAATCAAGCTTAGCCGTCCCATTTCCCTCCCCTTTGGCCCCGGCTCCCCTTTGGCCCCGGCTCCCCCTGGGCAGGCACGTTGGGTGTGCAATCTCATCCCAGTGCATCTCTTTCCCTTCCCCCCTAGCTGGGCAGGCCAGGGCGGCAGTGCAGGACCGACAAGCAGTGGTGGAGGGGTACCTGCAGTGCGCCGCTGCGTACTCGCACGTGCCCGACCTGCACGTGCTCTTGCTGCTGCGCCTCGCGCTCGCCCACCGCCACCTCGACCCCCTGGGAGGCACGGCGGAGGCGGGGCAGTGCTGCGTGGCCGCTGCTGCTGTGGCGCTGCAGTACCTGCTCGCCCTCCGCCCCCACCCGCCCCGGGATCACTCTAGCAGTGACGGTGGCGAGGGTGATGATGGTGCCATCGGCGCCCGCAGTGTCATCACAAGCACCACCACCACCACCACCAGCACCAGCACCAGCAGCACTGCCACGACCAGTACAACAATCACGATGGGTGCAGGCACAAGAGGCAATGAAGCAGGCGACGAGGCAGTGGCAGCGGGGTTCTTCTCACGCGCAGCTGGAGGGCAGCGCAGCAGCGGGGCGGTGTGGGGGCAGCAGCACGTGTCGGCGCTCGCTCGGGTGTGCCCCGACCTGCCCCTGCTCGCCCCAGGGCTGCTCCGAGCTGCCTCCAACCGAGCCACTGTGAGGAGCAAGAGGAGGAGCAAGGGGGGGCAGAAGAGCAGTGGCGGCAGCGGTGGAGAGGAGGAGGAGAGGGTGGTGGTGGCGGGGCGGGTGGCAGGGTACCTGCACGTCAACCCCCTCTTCATTGCCTCGCTCCTCGAGGAAGCTTCCTGTCTCTTCGCCTCGGCCGGCCTGCATTCCTTCGCCGTCCACCTGCAGGAGCTGCTGCTGCCCTTCTGGAAAGAGCAGGGAAACTTCTCCGCAGCTTCCCGCTGCCACCGGCGCTTGGCTGCGTCATACCTGCTGCTGACTCAGAGGCCGGGAGGGGGCGGGGAGGAGGGGGTGAGGGAGAGCGGGTGCCACCAGTCCCTCCAGTCGAGTGTGCAGGGTGCGAGCTTCTTCCTGGTGGCCTTCTATGGCGAGCGGTTTGGGGCGGAGTTCAACGGACGGCAGTTCGTGTACAAGGAGCCGCGGTGAGTGGGGGCACGGCAGGGCAGCGCGTGGTGGGGGGGGGTGGGCTTGTGGGAAGGATGTGCTGATGGGAAGCTCAAGGGACGTGCCATTTGCAGTCAACTGTCCATACAGTTTGACAGTCACTATGCTCCATGCTCAACCCGCTGTTCTTCCACCATCCTTCCACTCCTCCCACATCTCCCTCCACCTCCCTCCCTCCCCAGAGACACGGCAGCAGGGGACCTGGTGAGGCGGCTGAAGGGCATCTACGCCCGCATCCTGGGCAGCAGCACCTCGCTGCGCATTATCACATCGCCCATAGTCACACCCGACGACCTGCGGCACTCACAGCTGTGCACCGTGCAGGTCGTGCCAGTCTACCCCGCTCCAGTTGACCCTCCCCCAGGCCTGCCTGAGGGGGAGGAGGGGCTGAGGGATGGCAAGGAGGGCGCGGCGAGGGGCGACCTGGACGAGCTGTTTGGCGCCAGCGGCGGCGGCTGCGGGCCTCTCAGGAGCTTTCAGTTCAGCATGCCGCCTTCGGCTCTTGCAGCTGCTGCTGCTGCTGCAGTTGAGGGGCTGGTGGAAGGGGGAGGCGAGGGGGGGGCGGGGGAGGAGGTGACGAGGCTGCTGGAGCTGGGATTTGGGGGCGCTGCGGGGGCAGGCTATGGCATGGGCAGCGGCGGTATGGGCAGCGGCGGTATGGGGGATGTTTCCAGCGACATTGTGAGTGGAACTGCATTCGGGCGGGGTGCGGTGTTCCCCGTGTGGCGGCACCGCATGGTTCTGACAGTGCATGCGCGCTTCCCGTCGCTGCAGCTGCACCTGCCAGTGGTGGCCACCCACAGCAAGGAGGCGTCCCCCCTGGAGCTCGTCTTGGATGAGAGCTTGCAGTGGACCCGGCGCCTCTCCCAGCTGGTTGCCACGTGGCGCGCTAAGACTGGCCGGAGCTTGGAGGCAGATGGGATGAAGAAGGGGGATGGTGGGGGGAGAGGTGAGAGTGGTGTGCAAGGGTATGATTTGGATGAGGATGATGTGTTGTGGGGGATGGGGGGGCGGGGGCAGCGGGGGAGGCGGAGTGGGAGTGGCGGGGGGAAGGGTGAAAGGGGGGGAGTGTGGCGTGTGTTGCTGCAGGTGGCAGCAGCGAGCCTGGATGCCATGCAGGAGGTGCGGGCTCTTGAGCTGCTGCGCTCCCTCAAGGAGCGCCCTTCAGGGAGGGAGGGGGGAAAGGGTGGAGGAAGCGGAAGAGGAAGAGGGGAAGATGAGGCAGGAGAGATTGCGTGGACAGACGAGGGAGGAGAGAGAGGGACAGGCACAGGTACAGGGGAAGGCACAGGAGCAGGGGGGAGCGGAGAGGCGGGAGGTGCAGGCGAGGGGAGGAGGGGCGGGTCGCGGTGGGCGGAGGGTCTGGCGAGCCGGCATGTGGCGCGGGCCATGGGGGGGGTGGTGGCGGCGGCAGAGGCGGCACGGGAGGGCGTGGAGGGCGTGGGGAAGCCGATGGCGCCGCTGCTGGCGTGGCTAGAAGACGCCGCTGATGCCACCCCGCCTGAGACCCTTGCTGCCCTCGCTAGGTACGGGCTGCTGGATGGGGGAGGTGGAGGCGAGGGAGTGTGGGAGGCGAGGGGTGTAGAAGTGAGGTGCGGGGATGAGGGTTCTTCTGCTGCTGCTGCTGCAGATGGTGCTGCTGATGGTGATGCCACTCCCTCCTGCGCTCATCCCACGCCAAGGGAGCTGGCCCGAGCGAGAGAGCAGCGCGAGGCAGAGCGGGAGATTGCAGCAGTGGCAGCGCTGGCGGCGGCGGCGGCAGCAGGAGGCGAGGAGGCGGTGCGAGTGGGCAACGCGCTGACGGACTATGTGGAGGCGCTGAGTGCGGTGGTGCAGGCGCATGAGAGGGAGATGGGGTGGGGGGACGAGGAGGCACACGAGGAGGTGAAGGCGCGCGCCAAGGGGATGATGGAGGAGCTGTACCTCTACGTGCCGGGCATACGACCATGGGACCTGGTGTGACGAGCAGCCATGGGAACATGCGATGCAGGCTTGCAGGTGCAGCAGTTGTGGTTTGACGTTGAAGTTGTGGAAGAGCTACTGGTATATATATTATATATATATGTACAATTTTAGGAATCAAGCCCCATTGGCTTGATGTGTTTATGTGGAACACAAAACTTGATCTACCATCATCCCTCCCACTGATATAAGACTTAGGGTCTCACGTTAGGATAATAAGAATTACAGAAATTGCCTTAATTTATCAGGCTATTTTATCCTGAAATCGCTAAAGTTAGGATACCGTTTTAGGGCATAGGGCTGAAAATCAGGATTTTCATTTTTTTTGGGTCGCGAACAGGGCTATTTTTATCAGTGTAAATCACCCTGATGCCCTGATAATCAGGGTGGTTTTTGGGAGTAACACTGATGGTCCAGGGTAATTTTTCTAAGAGTCAAGATTACCCTGATGTGTCAAGGTTTACAATATAGGCACACTGATGACTAAGGGTTCCCGTATTCAATAACGAGTTTTTCCCTGAAGCGAGTTCCATACCTCCCCCCTCCCCCCCCCCCCCTCCCCCCCCCCCCCCCCCCCCGCCCCCCCACTGTCAGAATGAGGAATGGATGTTGCATTGATGTTGGTTGGGGTACATATGACAAACCCTAACTTCTGTACCCCCTAAGACAAACCTCACTACAGGCTACAACATTTGACACACCCCCATAGCCTAAGTGAGGGGTGTCTAGTAAAAACAAAAAAGAGTACGGTCACAAGACCAGTCCAAAAGAAAACAAAGCTCAGGGTGGATCACAACGTCACCACACACTCTGAGCACAAGCAACAGTGGCCACAAGGCCAGTCCAAGAGATCACAAGTATATATAGTAAGTGTACAGACGAAGCAGGCAATAAACTCAAGTCTACGCATGACTAGAACCTGTGTCAACAAGGCCTAACTGCACACAACACCTCTGGTGGTCACAAGGCGGAAGCGCCTTGGTGAAGATGTCTGCAGTGTTGGCCTCGGACTCTACAAACTCGAAGCGAGCCTGTCCACGCCTCTGCAACTCTCGCAGAAGAAAGTACCTGACGTGAATGTGCTTCACTCTGCTCTCCAGTCGCGGCTCACGACAGAGGAGGATCGACGCCTTGTTGTCAGTAAACAAGGTCGGTGCAGAGCTCGGCCACTCACCAAGGTCGGCGAGCAAGAAGGTCAACCACCGTAACTCCTGTGCCGCCATGGCACCAGCGTAAATCTCAGCCTCAGCTGTAGAGGTCGAGACAGAAGAGGAGCGCGTGGAACGCCAGGAAACAGCTCCAGAACCCAGACTGAAACAGTACCCCTGAGTAGACCTGTGAGTCTCAGCGTCGTCAGCGTAAGAGGAGTCACAGTGACCAGTGAGTACGACAGACTGCTGCCCTCCAAGAACTAGCCCCACGCCTGATGTAGTCGCTAGGTACTTCGCCACCCTCACAGTTGCCGTCCAGTGAACAGGACGGTGTCTCCCTGGCGCAACAAAGCGCGCAAGGATGCTGAGAGGGAAGGCGAGGTCCGGGCGAGTACAAGTCATCAGGTACATGAGGCAACCCACAAGCTCTGCGTAGGGACCACTAGGCTCAAACGGCTCGTCAGGAAAGGGACCAGTGAGTCTGTGGTCAACAGCTAGAGGTGTGCGCTGTACGGTGGAGTGCTGAAGCCCGAACCGCTGAAGGACCTGCTGCACCATGTGTGACTGTGAGAGTGTAATGGTGCGAGCGGCTCTGTCCCTGGTGATCTGCAGGCCAAGGTAGTGGCGCAGCTCACCAAGATCAGTGCACGTGTGTCTCTTCTGCAGTTCGGACTTCACGTCTGCCAAAGCAACCCTGTCCGAAGTGGCGAAAACGAGGTCGTCGACGTAGACCAGAACAAAGAACGGTGTGGAGCCACGACGAACGAACAGCGACGGGTCGGCAGAAGACGGCTGGAACCCAAGGTCAGAGAGGGTAGAACGCAGAGTGTCGTGCCACTCACGAGGGGCCTGGCGAAGACCGTAAACAGGTCGCCTCAGCCTCCACTGGGTCCCAGGAGGAAAGGTGCCAGTGAAGGCCGAGGGACGACGCAACCAGACCTCCTCGTGTAGGCTGCCCTGAAGGAAAGCAGTGGAGAAGTCGAGAGAGTGTAACTCGTAGTCTCTCTGTGCTGCTACGTGTAGTAACACCCGAAGAGTGGTCATCTTCGGGGTAGGTGCGAAGGTCTGAAAGAAGTCAACTCCCTCGCGCTGACTGAAACCTCTAGCCACGTAGCGCGCCTTGAAGACCGGGGGAGATCCCGGTGGCCGCTTCACCCTGTAGATCCACATGCCGTCGACTACGTTCGCCCCAGGGGGGGGAACCTCATCGACGTAGGTGCCTGTGGATCTGTAGGAGGCCATCTCTGCGTCCATGGCAGCTCTCCACTGAGAGGCCCAAGGCCCTGACACTGCCTCAGCGTAAGTGCGAGGAGTCGGAATGTCAAGGGCGTCGGGGTCACCCTCAGGGGCGAGGAGCATGGCACAGAGATGAGGGGAAGCGGCCGCCAGGAACTCTAGCTCAAACTGCCTGTCCTCTAGGGCGTCACAGCCAAGGGCAGACACACCCCCGACGGCCAGAGGACTGGTAGGAGGAGCAGCCACAAGCGTGGTGGCGTAGTCAAGGCGGCGGGTAGAGGCAAAGTCAGTAACTGCGGCAGTAAGAGCGGACACAGAGGACACAGAGGCACGAGGGTGAGTAACAAGAGAGGCGAGAACACGAGAGAGAACAGGACGGTACGTGCGGTAGTAGTCAGTGACAGGAGTAGGGAGCGACACAGTGAGGGCCGACTCAGGAGGAGACGGAAGCACAGACTGAGACGGACGAGGTGGACTAGAAAGAAGGAAGGCAGTACGAAGGTCAGTGAAGGGAACAGGAGACGAGGGACGAGCACGAGGGGAGCGACGAGTAGCCCAAGAACGAGACGGAGGAGGAGAGGACAAAGGCGGAGAACTGGGGAAAACAGCGGGGGAGGAGTCAGGAGGAGGAAACGTGGGACCGTAGACAGGAGGAGAGGCGGAGGAGGGAGGAGAAGGGGAGGGGAGACCAAGGATCCGAAGACCCGAGACAGGAGGAGGAAGTGGCTGCTGCTGCTGCGGCTGCGACTGCTGCTGCTGCGGACGCGGCTGCTGCTGGGACTGCTGCTCCTGCGGGTCCAGCTGCTGCTGCTGCTGCTGCTGCTCCTGCGGCTCCAGCTGCTGCTGCTGCTCCTCCAGCCGCTGTAACTCCCTCTCCTCTCTCTCCAACGCCAGCTGCTCGCCACGGGCACGGCGAACACGAGCCTGGTGCCTAGTCGGGTAGGGGTGGGGGGGTGGAGTAGTGTCCGAAGCAGCGGCAGCTCCAGAGTCCACCTCAGAAGAACTAGGCGCACCACCCCCAGAGGCAGCACTAACACCAGCTCCAGAACCAGGCTCACCTGAACCCGAAGGAGGCGCACCCTCACCCCCAGACGCAGCACCCCCAGTGTCCGCGCGGCCAGCACCAGCTCCCGGACGACAAGAGTCCTCTGCACCCACCGGGTCAGCTCCAACTCCAGAACCAGAAACTCCAGCTCCAACCCCAGCTCCAACTCCAGTACCCCCAGAACCAGAAAATCCAGTGCCAACTCCAGCTCCAACTCCAGCTCCAACTCCAGCACCCCCAGAACCAGAAACCGGTACAGGAACAGGCGCCGCACCAACCTCTCGAGAGCTAGCACCAGCGGCACGCTGCGAGGAGGACTGTGGGGAGGGAGGCTGTACCGGAGGGGCTACCGAAGGAGGAGGGGTAGCCTGGGACACACCTGACGGGGCTGGACCAGGGGGGGGAGGCTGTACCGGGGGAGCAGGAGGGGGAACGGCAGTCAGGAAGAGGGGGGGAGGAGGAACCGGGAGACCTCGACTGGGGTACCTGACGTAGTACGGAGTGGACTCCTCGAAACGGACGTCACGGGAGTCAAAGAACCGGTGAGAGGGAGGGTGGTAAAAGGTGAAGTCAGAGGAGTCCTCAGGGAAACCAAGGAAGACACAGGGGACGGCACGAGGCGAGAGCTTGTCCGCGGAGGTGTCGCGGACAAGAGCCAAGCACCCCCAGACACGAAACCGCGACGCAACACCAGGGGACCCTGTCCAAAGACTGGTCGGTGAAACCTCTGGTCGAGAGACACGTGGCCAGAGGTTCAGCTGGTGCGCGGCGTACCTGACCGCGTAGGGCCACAGAAAATGGGGGGCACAGGCGTGAGTCAGGGAGGTGCGGGCGATCTCCATGACCAGGCCTATGCGGCGCTCAGCAACCCCATTCTGCTGTGGGGACTCTGGAAGCGTCCAGGACTGACGAATGCCCTGCTCGCGACAGAATCCAGCGAGAATGTCGGAGCGAAACTCACCCCCACGGTCGGAGTGGAGACAGCTGACACGACGACCACGAGTGTCCTCAGTGGTGAGCAACCACCTGATCAGCGTAGAAGTCACCTCAGACTTCTTCGCCAGAGGGAACACTGTGGTGTAGCGGGAGAAGTCGTCAACTACCACCAGAAAGTAACGCTCACGCTCAGGGCCTAGACGAGGGGCTGGGCCCCAGACGTCCAAGTGAAGCGTCTCAAAAGGCTCGGTGGCCGGACGAAGGGAGGAGGAGTGAGGGGTGGCGTGCAGCCTACCCTCGACGCAGGGACGACACGGCGGCGCAGGCGAAGGCGGCAGCGACGGCAAGACACGTGGGAGGCCTAGGACAAGACGCTGACTAGACATAGCGCGCAGACGTGGAAGGGACGGGTGCCCCATCCGGTGGTGCCACAGAACGGTGGGGTGGGCAAGCGACCGGCAGGAGCATGACGCAGCGACTGGAACAGACGTAGGAACCTGACACGACACAGACACCTGGGGGGACGTAGCAACCTGGTGAGACGCGGGGACCCGAACGGGGGGGGGAACCGGGGGCAGTGGCAGTAGGGGGGGCTGCTGGTGCGGCAGCTGGTGCTGCTGCTGCGGCTGCTGCTGCGGCGCACGCGGGCCAGTGTGAAGAGTGTAGAGACCCGAGCCCGGCTGAGCAGTAAAGGTAGCAAGAGGCTGGTAAGAGTCTCCGTCAACACACACCGCAGTCTCTCCAGAAGGCTCAAACCACACACCCACGTGCTGACTCACGAGGGGTCGCACGCCCACCAAGTTCCGGGAGAACGAGGGGACGTGAAACCCAGTGAGAGACCCGGAGGGAGCAGCAGGACACGGTAAAGTGGTAGTGTGACGTGCAGTGACTGGTCCCGTAGTGGGATCAGCCAACGCTACAGAAACAGGCGCAGGAAGTGGTGTAAGTGTCGTGCTGTCCCGAAAGAAGCAGTGGGAGGCTCCAGAGTCCAGTGTGAACGACAGCGAAGCGTCGTCTGAGGTAGTCGCTGGTCTAGACTCTACACAAGTACCTACACTAGCAACAGGCAACTGAGCAAGACTAGCACCTAAGCTAACAACACCAGAGTAAACAGAGTCAGAAACACTAGAGTCAACAACAGCATACATAGCATGAGGAGCACTAATCAGATCAACTAACTGCTCAGCAGACATGCCCCACAGAGCGGAGCCGTGGCGCTGAACCAGAGGAAGCCAGTCAGGAGCAGGACCGCCAACCCCGTAGGTCAACCGGACCGTGTCAGTGAGCTGAGCAAAGCACTGACCAGGGGGGTGAAAGCGGCCACAAGGGTGGCCCCGACGAGGACCTGTCTGAACCTGGTAGGGGCAGGGAGGGTAAGCAGCACCGCGCTGGGGCTGACGCAGCCCCGACCCCGGAGCCAGCTGCTGACGCTGCTGCTGCTGAGGCTGCTGGGAGGAAAGGGGCTGCTGCTGCTGCTGAAGGTGCTGCTGACGCTGAGCCTGGTACCACGCCGCTGCTCCACCTAGCGGGGCCGGCAGTACAGGAGGCGACTGACGAGCTCGAGGGTCGCCGCCACCAGCAGGTGCAGTGGAGTCACCAGCCGCTGCACGAGGGGTCTCTCCAGACGCTGCACTCCCACCACCGCCAGTCGCAACAGCACCCCCACTACCTCCGCTACCTCCACCTCCACCTTCACCGGAACCACCTTTCTTGCCCCCCCTGCCGCGGGACCGCGACGCAGTCGTAACAGCAGCCGCAGTCGCGTCAGTAGCGGCAGTGGCAAGAGAGGCAGTGAAGGTGGGTAACTGCGGGACTGTGCACCCGTGGAAGAGTGGGGGGGACACAGTACCAGAGGCGGCAGCTACCGAACGAAGGTTGCTCTCGACGTCCTTGAGTGCAGACTCAAGGACCTCGATAGTCAGCTCACTAGGGTGCTTCAGCAGAAGCGCGTCACGAACGGAGGCAAGGCGGTCAGGGAGGCTAGTGGCGATGAAATAGACAGTAATCGCCATGGGGGGAGGAAGCAGTGCAAGCTGTGCCTCAGTGCAAGCAGCGCGGTAACTAGCGTCGAGCGAGCGGAGGTGAGCGATCAAGTCAGCAGAGCGCTCAAACGAGGCAAGATCAGGAAACAGGAACGGGAGGAAAAGACGGCCGAGAGAGACAGTAGCGGGAGTAGAGTAGCGGGCCTTAATCGTAGTGAGGTACGCAGCAGCGGTGCGAACCTGAGTAAAGTGGACCTCCTCGGACTCAGGGAGGAGGCTGCTGAGTGCGATGCAGGCCGCAGCGTCACGCGACGTCCAAGCCGTCCGGTCAGCGCGCTGACGGGCAAAGCGAGCCGTAGCAGCGTCGTCAGGAGCAGGGCCTAAAGCGGTAGGCTCGGGGGGCTCGGGGAGGTCACCAGTAGCGTGTGACCCAAGGGTCTCGCCCCCCTGGACTTGACTCTCTAACAGACGGCGAGCGCGAAGAAGCCAGACGGAAAAGTCAAGGGGTCTACCGTCAGCGTCGAAACGAAGAACTCGCGGAGTCGCCATAGTGAGAACCAACGCGAACGAACCGGGGGGGAAGAGGACTCAGTCGCAGCGGAAGAGCGGGCTAGGGCGACGGGCCAAAACGTAGGGTAGGGCAACGGGCCAGGGCCTAGGGTAGGGCGACGGGCCAGAGCCTAGGGAGGGCGACGGGCCAGGGCCTAGGGAGGGCGACGGGCTAGGGCCTAGGGAGGGCGACGCGACGGGGGAAAGGGCGGGAGCGACGCGACGGGGAGGGCGACGCGACTGGACAGGGCGACGCGACGGGGCAGGGCGGCGCGACGGAGCAGGGCGACGGGACAGGGCAGGGCGACGCGACGGGGTAGGGCGACGCGACGGGACAGGGCGACGGGACGGGACGGGACGGGACAGGGCGACGCGACGGGACGGGACAGGGCGACGCGACGGGACAGGGCGACGCGACGGGACGGGACAGGGCGACGCGACGGGACAGGGCGACGGTACGGGACAGGGCGACGCGACGAGACAGGGCGACGGGACAGGGCAGGGCGACGCGACGGGACAGGGGGGGAACAGGCGGGCGCGACGCGACGGGGGGAACAGGCGCGACGCGACGGGGGGAACGGGCGCGACGCGACGGGGGGAACGGGCGCGACGCGACGGGGGAGATGATGCTAGGCTCGGTACTAGGCGCGGTAACAACTAAACTGGTACGAACGAGAGGTAGGATCAGGCTCGGGAGGTACGAACGGAGAACGGAGGAACGGGATCCCACAGGATCCTAACCTAGCTGATACCATGTCAGAATGAGGAATGGATGTTGCATTGATGTTGGTTGGGGTACATATGACAAACCCTAACTTCTGTACCCCCTAAGACAAACCTCACTACAGGCTACAACATTTGACACCCAGTTCCCCCACCCCCCCTTTTTCCAGTAACCGAGGATTCCCGAATCCCGATTGCCAACTGGCGAAACCGTAATTTCGGCCTTGACAACGCATGTGCTGGCTCAAAGTGGGCCACCATAGGCCAGACTTGCGGTTTCTCCAGGGTTGTCTTTTAAGAACACTGATGCGACAGGGTAAATTTTTGAAAACCGACATAAACCCTGATGTAACAGGGTTTTCAGAAGGGGTCACACTGATAATCAGGTTTTTGACCTTGTACCACACTGCTCATAAGGGTAGTCAAAATCCAAAAATTAGCCCTGGTCGCGAAGCAACCTATTACGATCGATTTGGCCAGTTTTTTTTTTTTTTCCACATTTTCACATTTTATTTATCTAAATAAAATATGAAAATCGGAAAAAAAATCTGGATGCACTACTTGTAACGTAGAGGTCCTGTCTAGTTCAATTATTCTAACGTGGAGTAGTGATTGTTTGGACAACTAGGTTGTCCCTGTGATTTACTTTGTTGTGATTTAGTATAGTATAATATGCACATGATATGAAAAGATGAATATAATGATTGGTGAATTTAGATGAATAGATGATATTATGTAGAATACCATATATTGTATAACATATGCTATGATGAAGAATAAATGCATGCCTTATACAATAATCGATACGGATAATGCTTACCTGTTACTAACAATCCAAGATGCATATTTATAATAATAAAATACGTGAAAGCTAACCACAAAAAAACTATGCTATCGCATCCCATGCCTAGCATGGGGAGGAGCTTGTGAAGAAAAAAAGGAATGAATGAACTAGGAAAGAGGTGGGTACAAGTAGGAAAACCTAGAAGTGTTGTACCCCATATAGTCTACCCCACTACAGCCTACACAGACTATAGCATATAAGTTTGACACACCCCCATAGGCAAAGTGGGGGAGAACAAGAGGTCACAAGACCAGTCAAGCAAAGCAAAGCAAGCTCAGGGTGGATCACAACGTCACCACACAATCTGAGCACAAGAGCAAGGCCAAAAGGCCAGTTCACATGCAAGATCATATATAAAGGTAAACAGGCAAGTGCAGGTATAGAAAGATCACAGTACAAGCAAGGTCAAGAAGTGAGCAAGTGAGGCCAAGTAGGCACAAGACCTAGCATCGTACAGAAGCGCTGATGATCCCCAGGCGGAAGTGCCTTGGTAAGGATATCAGCAGTGTTGGCCTCAGATGCCATGTAAGCAAGGCACCACGCTGCTGCAGCTCACGAGCAAGGAAGTAACGAAGAGCAATGTGCTTCGTTCTGTGCTCCAGTCTGTGCTCCCGACACAAGGCCAGCATGGCATTGTTGTCTACGTACAGAACTAGAGGAGAACGAGGCGGCTCTCCTAGGTCAGTCAGCAGGTAGGTGAGCCAGCATAGCTCCTGTGCAGCCATGGCCCCCGCTGTCAGAATCCCAACCACTAGACCATTGGGATAAAAGGGCTTGTTTGAGTAGCGGGTCAGTGCGCCCATAACCCCCCAGGCGTATGCGTCTGTAACCCTCTCCAGGATCAATCGAGCATCCAGAGTGCAGATCTACTGACACCCCCCCACACTAGGAGGCCCAGGACTAAGCACAGCGGCAACGGCCTACATGTGCATACACCGGGAATCGAACCCGAGACCGCTCTAATACCATGAGAAAACTGAAACGAGAATGGATGAACTATGAATGAAGTGGGCACAAGTACTAACCCTAATTGGGTTGTACCCCCTATGGGATACCCCACTACAGCCTACACAAAAGCATAAGCTATAATGTTCTGACACACCCCCATAGGCAAAGTGGGGGAGAACAGGGGGTCACAAGACCAGTCAAGCAAAGCAAAACAAAGCAAAGCTCACGGTGGATCACAAAGTCACCACACATTCCGAGCACAAGTACAAGGCAAGAAGGCCAGTTCACATGCAGGAGTACATATACATATAAGGCTAGACAAGCAAGAGCAGGTATATATATATATGTAACAGTACAAGCGAGGTCAAGAGGTGAGCAAGTGAGGCAAGACAGGGATAAGACCCAACTGAGTGCAGAAGCGCTGATGATCACAAGGCGGAAGTGCCTTGGTGAAAACATCAGCAGTGTTGGCCTCATAGGCCACATACGCAAGCCGCAACTGTCCACGCTGCTGTAGCTCACGAGCAAGAAAGTAGCGGAGAGCAATGTGCTTTGTTCTGTGCTCCAGTCGCTGCTCTCGACACAAGGCCAGCATGGCCTTGTTGTCTACGTACACCACTGGAGGAGAACGAGGCGGCTCTCCGAGGTCAGTCAGCAGGTAGGTGAGCCAGCGAAGCTCCTGTGCAGCCATGGCCCCAGCGTAGATCTCAGCCTCACAACTGGAGCCGAGAACAGAAGACAAGCGAGTAGCCCGCCACGAGACAGAGCCGGAACCAAGGTTGAAGGTGTAACCCTGTGACGACCGCTGCGTAGCCTGGTCGTCAGCCCAAGAAGCGTCTGCGTGCCCAGTAAGGACCACTGGAGTGCGCCCTCCAAGCACTAGCCCCATGCCCGACGTACTGCACAAGTAGCGCAACACCCTCTTCGCTGCAGCCATGTGCACCCTCTTCGGTGTCTCCCAGGAGCAACATAGCGTGCGAGAATGCTAAGAGGGTATGCAAGGTCAGGTCGTGTGCAGGTCATCAGGTACATGAGGTAGCCAACAAGCTCTGGGTACGAGCCACTCGACTCTACGGACTCATCCGAAGGCAGAGCTGAGAGCGAGTGGCGAGTAGGCAGAGGAGTGGCCTGAGGCAAGGAGTACGTGAAGCCGAAGCGCTGAAGGACCTTCTGCACCATGTGTGACTAAGTCAGGGTAATGGTGCGGCGTGCTCTGTCCCGGGTGATCTGCAAGCCAAGGTAGCTGCGCAGTTCACCCAGGTCTGTGCACGTGTGTCTCTTCTGCAGCTCGGACTTCACGTAGGCGAGTCCAGCAGTGTCAGCTGTGGCAAAGACCAAGTCGTCGACGTACACGAGGACGTAGAACGGCGGCAGAGAGGTGTCAGTGCGTAGAAACAGTGACGGGTCGGCACTAGAAGGAGCAAACCCAAGAGCCGCAAGTGTAGTCCTCAGTGTGTCGTGCCACTCACGTGGAGCCTAGCGGAGACCGTAAACTGGACGCCGGAGGCTCCACTGGGTACCAGGAGGGAACGACCCAGTGAAGCCAGGTGGGCGGCGCAGCCAGATCTCCTCGTGCAGGCTGCCCTGCAAGAAAGCTGTGCTGAAGTCGAGAGAGTGCAGCTCGTAGTCACGGTGAGCAGCAACGTGCAGCAGTACCCGAAGAGTGGTCATCTTTGGGGTGGGAGAGAAGGTCTGAAAGTAGTCAACTCCCTGCCGCTGACTGAAGCCACGAGCCACGTAACGTGCCTTGAAGACAGGCGGAGAACCCGGCGGCCGCTTCACTCTGAAGATCCACATGCCACTGACGATGTTCGCCCAGGAGGGGGAACGGCGTCAACGTAGGTGCCTGTGGACTTCCAGGAAGCCATCTCTGCGTCCATAGCTGCCTGCCACTAAGAGGAGTAGGGACCCTCTATCGCCTCCGCGTAAGAGCGCGGAGTCGGGATGTCAAGTGCATCCGGGTCTCCCTCAGGGGTAAGCAGTACGGACTCGAGATGAGGTGAAGCAGCGGCTAAGCAGTGGAACTCCTCCTGCCTGTCCTCAAGGACGTCTGTGCCAAGGGCACACTCACCCCCGATGGACGGAGGACAGACAGACTCAGACTCAGCAACAAGACTGGCAGCGTAGTCTAGACGACAGCGAACAGCAAAGTCGACGAGCTCAGCAACTAGGGCTGACGCAGCAAAGGACTCAAAGGAAGGGTCAGTGACAGCAGTAGCAAGGAGACACGTGATAGTAGGACTGGCAGCACGAAGAGAGTCCGACTCCGGGCCGGCAAGAGCAGGAAGAGAAGACTCAGGAGGAGAAGGCAAAGGTGCACGCAGAGGAGCAGTGGACGGACGCAGAGACATCCGGTGGGTGCCAGGGATAGGAGGAGGACGCTGACGCGAACCGCGACCACTAGTGCGAGCAGCACGGATTGGCGACGCAGGGCGAGACGTAGGCTCACGACGCTCAACAAGACCTCCAGTAGGACCAGTGTAGG